ACTAGTGGTTGAGCACATCTGCAGCAGAGTACAGTAGGAAAATGACAGCAAACATATTACATATTCTAGGTTTGAACAGGAAGGCAAAGTCAATAATGAAAACCATTGTTTGATAATCTAACCCTTTTACAGGTTTGTAAAATAGATTAAACTAAAAACCCAACAGATGCTTCATACTTTTTACCATTTATTCAAAATAAAGGTTTTGGCCAGAGTTGGGCTTTAGGTGACTTGGCAACAAAAATATGAACACAATTTTACATGTGGCCATAAAAGGAGTAAATATATAGATTTAAAATTGCTCATCATTTAGGGGTCCGTACACCAAAAAGGCTATTTTATTATAAGCATCTTGGGGTCTCCCAAGGCCACATCTGGCCATCATAGTTCCTGGTTCTGCTCCTACACAGACTTTGAGGTCACAATCTCGATGATGTGGGGTATTCTCAAAATCTGTGTAATATAAAAATGCCTGTTGACCCCTCAGATGCCATGTTTGGTGTGCAAACTTGGAAACTCAAGTACAGAGTTATCAAAAATGAAATCCCATTTGGGTGTGCCAATTCTTTAGGAGCTATGTTTAGTTTTGGGTGATCAGGGGCAGTGCATTTGATCAGTGCAGTTATACACAACTCAGCTTCCATGAAGTTTCTGTATCAATGTTCATTTGTCACTGCTGTGTCTGTCAGGGGATTGGAGGATGCGGTTTGGCCAAGTCATGACTGACAAGCTCAGGCGACATTAGCAGTGGTGATCAATGGGGAATATTCCACAGGAAAGTAGAACTGCAGATGTTCTATTCACCCAAAGCTAAACAGTAGTGGAGAATGTATATCTGTGACCAGAACAGATATTCTGCATACCTGTTCATTTGGGAAAAGGAATAAATAAAGGCTATACTGAAATAGATCTACTGTACGGATTATTGTACCCACTGTTAAGACCTTTTAAAATGCATAAATGCTTTAAGCCTAAATTAACATTGGTTTCATTTGATGATTGCAATGGTCATTGTTAAAAATGCAGTTTGCTTCACTGTGAGGGACATTTAACCAGTGCAAAAATTTTTTTCATCTAGAAAAAACACATGTAAAAGTGGTATTAAAAAAAAAAAAAAAAAATTAAATTGAAGCTTACAGATATACTAGCTGCATTGGGTTTCTTTTTTTAGACTTCCTTTATTTTTACCTGGTGATATAGCCAGTAAGCCTGTTATTTGTCAACTTACTAAGGCTTCCTTCACATGGCCGTTTAGCCACATACATCAGATTCCAGTGGTACATCAGCGGATTCTTACAGCTGGAATGACAGGTGAATGCAAAAGTATTTACAGGCTGACAGAGGCTGTCACAGTTCCCATCTAGCTGCAAAACAAGAGGTTACTTGTGGTTAGGAATGGGTGTCTGAGCCTAGACGCATCCTACTGCTCCCAGGCTCTGACATCCATTCCTAACCCCAGGTAACTGCTTGGTATACGGCTACAAGCAAACCGTGACAGAAACTGTCAGCCTGAGCAGCTGCCACTATTCACATGCACCTGTCATTCCAGCGACCAGAATCTGCTTTATGTAGATAAATGGCCGTTTGAAGGAGGCCTGACAAAGCTGTCCAAACAAGCAGAAGCTAAAGCACCCTCTCAACCTTTAACACAGAGAACCCTTATAAGGAAAAAACAAACAAAAAAAACACCACTTTCTGGTCTCAGAGAACCTGGTTAAAAAAAAAAAAAAAATTACTATATCTACAACTCATGATACATTAGTGTGATGGTCAGTGGGAAGAAATTTTTCTTACACTTGTGTTCATTGGGAAGAATTACCCCCTACAGATCGCTACAAAAACCCCGAAAAAAACAAAAATAAAAAAAAAAAGCAATGGTGTCAGTAGGGAGTTATGAGCGGTAGAAACACTCATTGCTCAAGGAATCCCTAGCAACCTCTGGAAGAACCCTAGTTAAGAAATCCTGAGATAAACAATTTGACAAAAGTGCTTACAATGATCAGTTTGCATTCATGGAAAACCTTTATCCCAAAAAGAAAAAAAAAAAAAAAAAAATGTTTGCTCTAACTTATAAAGTGTAAGCTGGAGTTTAGCTTCAATGTGTTCATCAAATCCATCTAAAGCTGCTAGTCTAACCATACCCTCTCCCCAAACTGACAAGGCTTCTGCCCAAAGAAGTCTGCTTTACTCTTCATCCAGAATGCAGACCCCAAGACAGGAAGTGTCATTGGCTGGATCACCAGGTGAAATACAGGAGAAAAAAAAAAAAAAAAAAAAGATACTATTGTAGCCACCACATCTGGGACTGGCAATCTACATTTTTGGTGGCTTAACATTGCTTTAACAGCAGTAAGTACCCCTTTGCGTTAAGAAAACTTCCATATATGTAGAGTACACATACATGACATGGAAAGGAAATGGTTGCTCAAAAGATTCTAGTAAAATCGCACCAATTTTTGCATTTAAGAGGTCATAGTGATTTTTATGCTAACATTTTTCCTGTATGTCTCTCACATGGAAGAAATGCCTCAATTAGAATAATTTTCCTTTTAAATTGAATTATTCAGATATAAAAATGACTGAACACCATCTGGATTTGCTGGTTGCTTTATAAAAACAGTAAAAAACGCCTAATCCGCCCTAATCCAGGCACTTTAGTGTTTATATCCAAAGGATGTTCAGTACATCAGACAAATTAAATCACTACATGCTACAGCAGAAAGGAAGCAACTGCAGCATTGCACAGATAATGAAATGCAAAATTACTTTTCTTTGCAAAGGAATGCAAGCTAGAAAACTGGATGTAGGTAAAAACAAAGCAGTAAAGAACGAAACTGCCACAATGCTAACAAAACCTGCTATTCACACACTCCTGCATCATTTACATAACAATATAAAGGAAACCATTGTTCAGATTTCATTCTCTAACTTCATAAGGTGCTTTTCATACCTGTCTTCTTGCGACCAATCAAAGGCTCACTCTTCTGGTTATTTCTCACAGCAATGACATGAATAGTGTATTCTACACCAGGCTCTAGGTCTGCAAAGGAGGGAAATACAACTATTAGCATATGGTACATTCATTGCCAAACTGCACTTTTGGGGCCTACTGCCCCCTCCAAGTCTTTTCTGTTCCTTATCCAGCAAGATCTTGGCCTTTTTAATGCTGTACAGCCATTTGTCAGAATCTTCTTCACTGGACCTGCACATGGGTGCTACAATACCAATTATTCCTAAGGAATTATTTTAAAGTGTATTTTACCCTAAATTTTTTTTTTTTTTATTTGTGTTCACATATGTGCATTTCTAAATCAGTCTATCATTTTCATGTACTTCTTTCATTTGAAGTACCTGGTTGATCCTGTAAGTCACTTATTCCTTGTTCTAATCTAAATTGACCACACAACACAGAAGCTGATCTGTTAGCATGGTCAATTTTAATCCTTTGGCTGCCCATTCAGAGGTATGGGAGAGGGTGCACACACAAAACATTCTTGTATTGGTTAGCTCAGCCACCACATCCCACCCCCCCCCCCCCCCGCCAATTATAACCTGCCTCTGACACACACCCCCTCCCAATTGCAGCCTACCTTTTGAACATGCCCCTGCTCAAGCACAGTCTGCATCTTGCCTGGGATGAACAGACTATGGAATACAAGTGTGTCTGCACAGTGTCCTGTAACATCACCCCTATTATCAAGAAGAAGAAGAGATGCATGGTCTCATGACAGTTTTTAACCTTGTAAAAAAGGAAAAAAAAAGGTAATTTCTGAAACCATGCAAAAGCAGCTATGGTACCTGCATAGGTAACTGGTTTAGAAAGTGTCTAAAACAGTGCATGTTCACAACAACTTTAACCTGGACTCCAACAGAGTACATGGCAGACAGAAAAGGAGAGCCCATACCTTGCTGGATCAAAGACAGGCACAGAGAAAAAGCCTTACAGTAGCTGCAGGCTATCAAAAGATAAGTAACTGAAATTACTTTTGAAGCAGAACGTCAATTGTAAAAGCTATGTACTCATAAAACCCCCCACAACATTTATATGTATCAAAGAACCATGAATCTAATGGTCTAAGCATCATTTGCATCGACAATGGGAAAAGCAATCACAAAAAAGATAAATTCACAAAGCTTTAAAACACAAGGATCTTTACTTTAGCACAGGGGTCTCCAAATCTTTTAAAACAAAAAGGGCCAGTTTACTGTCCCTCAGGTTTTATGGGGGCCAGACTGTGGCCAGTGTGAGTAGAAAATGTCCCAGCAACAGTCGAAGTAAACAAAGCCCCATCATTGGTTCTAGCAGGAGGAATAGTGCCCCATTATTGGTTCTAGCAGGAAGAATAGTGCTCCATTATTGATTTCAAAAGGGAGGAATAGTGCCCCGAACTGTCAGTGAGAGGAATGGTGCCCCATTAATGGTGTCAGTGGGAGGAATGGTGCCTAATTTGTGTCAGCTGGAGGAATAGCGTTCCAAGGGCCAGTTACAGGCAAGCAAAGGGCCACATCTAGCCCTTGGGCCACAGTTTGGAGACCACCGCTTTATCATATGACTAATTAGGTCTTATTGGACTCAGTTTAAAAAAAAAAAGTATATAATTTATTTTTTTTTTTTAAATTAAAGGTCAATGTCCTGCTGGGTTATCTGCAGGATTTGAGCTCAAGGTCTTATAATATTCATTCAAACAGCAGGGTACAATGTAGCATTCTCTTTGGATGCAAGAGACAGAGGGGGTAATTCAAGAAGGTATTTGTGATACATCTGTGGGATGGTGGATGTACTCAAAAGCTTTATGCCAAATACATTAAACCCATGTACCAAACCTTGAGCAGTTAGGACACTCACTGGTTATGGTGGCCTCAGTGGTCCCTGCTGGAAGGCGGGGCAGATGTTCCTTGGGTACTCCTCCTACCCGGTCATACTTAATGATGTATCCTGTGATACGAGAGCGAGGAGGCTGCCATGAGAAGAGCAGGGAGTTGGGTGTGCTGGTCAGGAATCGCAAGTTGGATGGACTATCAACAGCTGGAAAGGTAAAAAAGCAACACTAAAATACCCCGTACTTCATTCTGAAAAGAATACAAAACAGAAGCAAGCAATGCAACTGAGGAATACAGTCCATTCATGTTATTTTACCTGTTGGCACATCCAGTGTGACAGGGGAGCTGCGGGCATTGTCATTTAAAGTGTACAGAGAGATCTTGTAGTCTGTTCCAGGCTGAAGACCTATAATAATTGGAGCATTAAATGGTTAATAAGATGCTAAGGATAACAAACCCCACAATGAATGTGGTCACTCTGAAGGCTTCTAGATAATGACCCAAAAAGAAATCTCTTACCTGTGACAGTGAAGGTTCTCACATCTGGTTTGATCACTCTCTGAATGGGAGTCTGGCCACCAACAGGAAGAGCCTCAATTAGGAAGCCAGTGATGGTCTCAGTCTTTGTGCGCCAGGTAATTGTTACGGTTGTTTCTGTAACATCTGTGACACGTGCACGGCGAGGGGGGCTAACATCTAGGTAAGTATAAGTATAGTAAGTATTATATAGTTTTTTGCCTACTGGTACAAAGATGCAGATTAAAATTAAATTACACAAAAAAATATTATGCTTGAGTTGAACATAGGCTAAAAAATATGAAAAGTGAAGTGTCCCATTAAGACTAGTGATGGGACTAACACCCCCCTGTTAGGTTCATGGTCAAACATAATGAAAGTTCAACCGCAACCTTTGAACAGAGGGGACAATTCTCCTGAAGTTGATCAAATGGCAATCACGATGCCCGCTGCCACCGCCAACCCAGGAAATAACAAAAAAAACACAAAAAGTGTCATCTGCTACTGGAATTGAATTTGAATGGTTTTGCAATACATACCAGTGCATTACAGTAACATGCAGTAACGTGTGAGCAAGCATAATGTGTTTAAAGTGCTCCCCATAATTAATCACATTCCAAATAGAAGTAGATCTTTGCGGTTCTTTTCATTCCATTACTAAACAACTGACACATTAGGTTTAATCTCTGGCTGCTTTACTTACTCTCCAGTGTAGAGATGATGCCTTGCAGTGGTGGACTCATCAGGCCATCCTTAACAGCATATATACTAACTTCATACTTGGTGGCAACCTGATGAAGAAGGCAACAGTTTTGGAAGATTCACTTTAGAAGCACCAATAAGCGGCTTTAAAAAGGATCAGTTATACATACTTAACTAGACTGAGCTTTACGGATCATGGTGAAAAGTAAAATGTTTAACTCAACCAGAAGTCACATAACTTTTGTTAAAAAAAAACAAAAAAAACAAACAAAAAAAAACCCACACACACACACACAACTGGTTGTGGTCGACTACTGCAAGTCACTGCAAATCCTTCAGAATGACCCAATGTATAAAAAGGAATGCTCATTTTTGGTTCGGAGTTTTCGGATTATCAGAGTGTCGGGAGACGTCAGATGGCTTAAAGTGCAACTTTGCTGGCAAACAGTATAGTGGTTTGCTTTTTGCCCATGGTCAATAATAGAAGGATTTTTTTTAAGCACGTTCAAGCCACGATTTTTTTGACCAGGATCACCAGCTAGGAATTGATATATTTGGGTCCGATCACAATAATGACAATCATTTTAACTGTAAAAGCCTGATTACGTGTATTCAGTACAATTACTGCAGGCTCATACACTCCCATCCAAGTGCACAGATCCAAGTGTGCTGCTCATCAATCAGAAAAATAGCCAGAAATGCCATAGAGAATCTGTCTTGATGGAGTGGCAGTCATTGCCATCAGAATTGTATGCCATTATGATGAAAATTAGATGAATAGTAAAAAGGTCTTCATTACATAGTAAATCCATTACATAGTAAATCCATTAAGGCTTAAGTAGAAAATACCCAGCCATCACTCACCATCAGACCCGTAACAGTAGTGACAGTTGTACCAGGTGGTGTGTCAAACTCTTTCACTGGTTCAGTTTTCTCTTTGGGGTTCACACGTACCCGGTAACCAGTAAGCTGGACATTAGGTGCATGCCAGCTGATTGTAAGGCTTGCTGGAGTCACTTGGGAGAACTGAAGATTTGTTGGGGCAGGAATGGCTGCAAAATGATAGGTGTTAAATTATCAATAAAAGGTTTTACAACACAGGATACTCTTACGCAATGTGGAGGCATGCAAAAAAAAAAAAAAAAAAAAAAAAAAAAAAAAAAAAAGAAGAAGCATGCAATGCAACTTCAAGAGGTTGTTTCATACATACAGATATGAATGTGAAATCCCTGACTAGTAATAGAACGTCTTTTACTATGGGCAATGTGGCCTCTTTTAGGTGATATTCCACATATCAGGTGCATAGGCTTATTGTACAAGACACTTCACAGAATGACTATTTGTAACATACAGAATTCATAGTCAACACTCGGAATGGTCAAGATGAATTCAAGGAGTAAAGAGTTACCACACTGCGCCTTGCTGAATAAGCCAGTTATGCTGGTACTCCCAGTCAAATATTTCCACTGTATGGCATTCAGTTAGGCTTTTTAAAGGCCCGCAAGTTATATCTATTTTATTAACAAGTTTAGATGCAAATAATTCTTAACTACATGTAAAACTATTTCTGAATGTTCTCAGAACAGCAGTAATGTATAACAAGATTTAAATGCTAGAAAAGTGTTATTTTTGTCTGTGGGCTTCTTGGTCAATGATACTACTAGAAAATTGTCCATTTGGTGACATCTTTTACCAGCCATTGCGCTGGAAGGTGAAGGATAAGTACATGCATAGTAGTAGTTACTAACGGCTATTAATCTAACTTTTATGGTCCTTTATAATGTATAGCAGGATTTACCATAAGTGAACAATGGAAGGGTGAACAGAAAGGTGAAAGACCAAGTTACAATTATTGGAATTAAGTGAATATAGTTTGCTGGTGGATGGAAACTGCAGGACAACAAAATATTAAACAGACACACAGAACGCACCAAGTGCTCCAGATACCTGTACGCTGGGTTCCAATCACGGGCTTGCTTTCCATGTCATCGTGCATTGCCACGATGCTTACAGTGTACTCTGTGCCCGGCCTGAGACCGTGCAATTCAGCAGTGTCGTCATCTCCTTCCGGAGCTGGAAACAACTCTCTGAGTCCATCCTCAGGGCTTGAGTAGGTCACTCGGTAACCGGTAACCTGCCCTTCTGGGATTTCCCAGGATAGTCTAATTGAATCAACATTCACTTCTGGAAATGCCAGTCCCTTGGGTTGATCAATGTCTGTCAGGCAAATTAATTACGAAAGCAATTAACAGCAGAGACAGCAGCAGAAGCAGCAACAGGAAAGAAGAAGCTGCCAGAGTATTTCTACTCTCCTGGCAGTGGAAAATTATATACGTTGTTACAGCTTGTTAGATATAAAAAGCAGCATTTGATAGTCTGTCCATTCAAAACCGGTTTCTTTTTTTGTGTAGATGTTGGTGAGCTGAATCACCCAATGGCTTCTTAAATTTCTCATGGACTCCAGCAGTCCAACTCTAAATCCCACCTCCATTATGTTGTCTTAATAGCTGCCACAGATAGTACAGCAGAGGTAGTGGGATCCAGTGGCTGTTTATCTAAAAGGCCAACAGGCCATTTAAGCCAATACTACTATAGTATTTAGGAAACAATGCAAAAAAAAAAAAAAAATTATAGTTTTGAGTGGACTGACCATTTCAGCAAATAAAATATGTAGCCACCTTAAACCAGACAACTGTGCAAAACCATGCTAAATTAATGTTAAATTCTTTACATCAAAACAAGCCATCATTAGGAAATTAGCAGGCAAAATTTCTACATTGCTAGGAGCACATAGCTCTGATTCAGTTAGGTGTGAATCAATGCAATGCAAGTTTGCCAAGTATTCCAAAGATTGGAGATTATAGATAAGAAATGTGCAAACTCTCAGGAAAACTGAGCATGTTTGCATATGCCAGCCATTGATGAACTACAAACCTTAAAAAAAACAAAAATAAATGGCTATAGGTCAACAAAAGCAGATATGCTAAAACAATGCACAAATCATTGATCCGTTTTGGCTCTCAACCTTAACACCCAATGCAAAAGCTTAATATGCAGGAGTCAGTTTGATGATGCAGTGATACTAAATGCAATTAACTGCCATGTTCACAAGCACACTAGCAATTAGTTTCTAAAACAGTAGAGCGCACTATACAGGATTTAGAGGACAGAACTTTCTCTGCACTCCACTGAAGCCACTAACTATGCATATTTTACACACTTCAGTTTAGAAGTAGTATATTGATTAGGAAAAGCAGTCTAATTATTTCACCACTAAATATTTTAAGAGAACTAGAAAACATGCAGCATTAATAGTTTCTAATACCAGTTGGGATACACTGGAGCGCCATGTTTTATTACTTGAGAACAGTTTAGCCCATGAGATCGCTGGACATTCATCCATCACAAAAGGGTGCTTCTGAGTGCCTGCACTTCATACTTGCAAGAGTTTGCACAACCCCCAACAGTCTCTTCAAAAGGAAGATTTAGAAACTGCTACAACCACTATTGTTCTTTGGTGGACAAAGTCAGTTAGGATGTTCTCTAGTAAACCCCCCACATCCCTGTTCACAAATCCAACAATTTTTAAGTAAGATCTCTTTAAGCAATGTCACCCTTTCAAAATAATAAATAATAATAATAATATTAGATGATTAAACTGGCAAAACTGACAAATCCCAAAAAGGAATACATACTTGTGACAGCTGTCTCAATTAGGGGCTCACTCTCTCCGCTAACACCCAAGGAATACACGCTCACCACATACTCAACAGTTGGTTGAAGCCCCACAATTGTCACTTCTGTTTGATCTGTAAAAAAAAAAAAAAAAGTTAACATTTAAAAAGGTGCAATTCCCTCTGTAAATATAAATTCTACTCATTTGCCCCCATTAGATCAGTCTCCAAATTTAAATACTTGGGTGTGTTGGTTCAGCGTGACCTGACTAAATATCTTTCGGACAATCTTTATCCTCTCCTACAACAATTGCAGGCTAAATGTAACGCCTGTACAAGGAGAATGACAGGCGCATGGTGTAGCAATCCATGTATGTAGTATGAAGTTCCAAGTGCACAGGGGTAGTCCAGTAGGCACTGAGTGCAAGCTGCGCTGGAGCGAAGCGCAACTCTGCGGTAGAAGAAACAAAGTAACACAGCGCCTCTAAATGTGTACTGTAATAGTATTTAATAAAAAGATAAGTAGTAACTAGCATCTTAGAAATTAAAAACAGGCTCATGTAGTGGAGAGGTAAACGTCTTGTAGCCAGATGTTGGGTGACTGTACCAGAAGGTGATAGCCTAGGTCCGCCAGCAGATGGTGCCTACATGAGCCTTTTTTTAATTTCTACGATGTGAGTTACTACTTTTCTTATTAAATACTGTTACAGTATACACTTTGAGGCACTGTGTTCCTTTGTTAAATGTAAAGTCTGGTCTTCCCTTCCTATTAGCACCATAGGCCAAGTAAATCTATTTCAAAAAGGATAGTTCTACCTCCATTTCTCTACATTTTTTTCAACACACGCCAGTACAAATCCCGCAGTCCTTTTTTCCGTTGTGTGGATGCTATTGTCTTACTGGGCTGGGAGGGCCCCTAGACTTTCAAAATGGTGATCAAATGGTGTTTTACCATGTGACTGCTGTGTCCAATCACAGCAATCACATAGTAAACACTGGAAAGTGAAAGTAAAGATCTTGGCAATGGTGCATCAAGAGGTGAATGGGTAATTGCACAGGTCACATACAATGGGAAGAAGAAGGGTGTAGGCTATGGTAGAGGAAGAGTGGTTAATATATAGGTTAGAGACAGGATGGGGCTGACATACAGGAGAGGTTGGAGTTTTTATAAACTTTCGGCATCGAATGAACTGGTGCTGGCTGCTGGTTAGGAGGCTCTCTTCCTCACACACCGTTTGGTGTAAGAGCAAACAATGCTTCCTGATCACTGGCCAGCAAGTCAGCTGATAACTGCAGTCTGTGTTTACATTCTGTGATTGGTCACAGCTATCATGTAATACAGAGACACTCTCATTGGCTCTGTACCATTTGATTGTGATCTACGGTCTTCAATCACAGCGTGATTACAGTACCTCCTCCCGCAACAAGAGGAGAGCAAATAAGTCCACAAGAGGTTAAATGAGGTTAGGCAGGGTGCAAGAGGAACTGTAGGCTGAACAGTAATTTTTTTTTTTGTTTAAAAAGACTCTTTTCTTAAAAGGCAAAATGAAAGATGCAAAACAAAAGCATGTCAGCTGAATTTTCTAAAATGCTCAGTGTAGGTCAGAGTAGGAATAAAGATTTTTGTAAAAAGCTTAGAAAAAAAGCCATTAATACAAATGTAAAATTATTGAACTACTAGCATTTCAAGAAAAGGGACAGGGTGTTAAAATGTCTAGCTATACAGATCACAGTTACAAGTTTAGAAAATAGCCATAAAAAAATTCTGGATCATCTAGTTGTATGTATTCCTCATGTACCCCACAAAACAAAAAATATAATTACCTGATGGCAAATCTTGGGAAATTGTCTCTCCATGACCACCTTTAGGTACACTTGTAACTCTATAACCAGTAACTTGGCCAGCAGATGGTGTCCATCTAACATGGATGCTTTGATCTTGGACATCAGTCACTTGCATCTCTGTTGGTTGCTCAACAGCTGAAAAAAAATATACCACATTACCACTTTTATTTAGAAAGTGTTACTAGAATTCAATATGTTGCTCCTTTATAAAAGACAGTATGAAATGCATTAGTTATACCTGTTGAATGAACAATGGTAATTGGCTTGCTTGTAGCAGGACTGTCCCCTCGGCCAGTGACCGCATACACTGTAATAGTGTAGCTTATGCCTGGTTTTAGGTCTCTGATAGTTGCAGTGTTGTAAGTGCCAGGCACTGTGAATTCCTGAGCTGGAACTTCGCCTCCAATGTGAGTAAAAGGAATCAGGGAATTATTAAGAACTCACTTAAAATGGGAACCATAAATCAGACTTAATTTTAACAATATACTAAACATACCGTTCTCTGATGAAGTAATTCTATAGTATCGTACATTGACTGAAGGTGCATCCCAAGAAATTGTAATTGTATTGGGAGAAGTAGACGTTGCATGTAGATCAGTTGGTACATCAGACACTACAATAGAAAAAAAAAAAAAAAAAAAAAAAAAAAAAGGATGCAGTTTCAGAGAGGGGAAAACCATTGGATTTGTGGACCTAAAATTATATGTAGCATTTGTTTGGGCACTTTAATCTAGCCCAGCAATGATGACTAAATAAATGCTGTAAGATTTTTTTTTTTCCTTTTTCCCTGCTTGAGTGACAGCTGCAGGGATGACTAATGATTGCAGGACCTACCCCTAACAACCAGCTAGGAGGATTTGGATTGGCTAAGTGCATCCCCACCCACCACCAAGGGAAGAACAGGGATCCATGTACATGGGTGCCAGGGAAAGAGGCTCTTGGCACCTGTGGGAGTCTGTATTCAAGACTCCAATTGCGGTTTCTCAGACCTTGGTGAGAATTTCTCGGGAGTTCTCTGGAGAGCAAAGAGCTGAAGGAAGATATTGCTGCTGGTGGACTGAACTATTACCTAGTGAGCAAAATAGACTTCTGAGCATCTACAGCTCATCTGTACTGTAGGAAGGAAGTTGCAAGAGGGCTTTGCTACCTACAGCCCAGGCAGAATAAGACTGGCTACTGAGAGTACTGTGCTGTTGTGTACAAAGGCTGCTGCTGTTTTAACTGTTGGGAGTAGAGAGTTGGAGCAGTGTTTACTGCTGCAGGGGAGATTGGGGTGAGAGAATCACATGCTTCATGTGCTACATGGTTGTTCCAGAGTGTTCCTGCTATCCAGAGAAGCACATCTTCCAGCTACCACCAGCTACTAACACTTCAGAGAACTGGCTTGGTTCATAATTTTTACATTTTTGCCAACATACATTATTTTTAGCTGTGTACGAATGAAATACTACATATACATTTCTGTTTTGGAAGGAAGAAGTTTGGTTTTATCATCCAACAGTTTCTTACATCTCAGAATTTGCCATCTCACTCCTCCAAAGTACATGGAAGTGCCCAATTAATACTCCTGCATTAGTGGGCAAAGCGGAAACAAATGAAAGGCAGCATGCCTAGCTGAGAGAGAAATGAAGCCAAAGTGCAATTCAAGATACTTGCATCTATTCAAAATGGAAATCTTTTAAAGGTGGACTGAGCCTCTGAAGGCAAATCTTAATATATTGTCACCAGTAAGAAATTGGGCTGGCAAAGGAGATCCACCCTCTCCATTTGCCTGGTTTACCATTATCATTGAAGGTGAAAGTAAAAAAATATCCCAAATTTTGGGTTGTCTCCAGCAAAGAGGAAATCTTCTAATGGGGACATTAGTTCTGATGGACCTGGTGAGAACCATGAATTCTCTCACTTTGGAGGGTCTTCCTCTCACTACCTGTTTTGATTGGACAGAAAGTGAAGATTAATCTCCCCAATGGGACAGACAGCAAAAACAAACCTTACAGGGGTTATAACCCTCACTTACTCTATCCAAAAAAAAAAAGGTTTTGCCTATAGTTCTACTTTAGGTATTAATCCTTCCCTGGCCAAAATGCTTAAGTGTGCAGAAAAAAGGAAACCTCACAGGTCATTGGTTTAAGAAAAAGATGTTTCACAAGTTTTCATTCCAAAAAGCCCCATGCCAAAACAATGTACAAAAAAAAGGTACCATTTAACAAAGCCTTTTAAAGGACAGTGGTTTCAGGCACTCTATGTACCTGTAGCTTGTTGGCCTACAAGTGGCAAGCTCTCCTGGGCACCATTGACAGCAATAATACTGACAATATACTCAGAGCCTGGAATAAGGTTGGTAAGAGTGATGGAGTTTCGTGACGGAGGAATTCTCTCTTCTTTGGGACGCATATTACCACTCTCCAGCTGGTATCGAACTTTATACCCAGTGATGGTAGCACGGGGGGCATTCCAGTGAACAGTAAAGGAGTTTGTGGTGATTTCAGAAAAGTCAATACCAGTTGGTGAATCAAGGTCTGTGGAAAAGGGGAAAAAAAATAAATTATAAAACACATACAAATATATCTATATCAAAAAGCTGTATACAAGTGGTATGTGTCCCAAAGGAAATTCAGACCATGACTCATGTACAGGCATTTTTTTTTTGTATTATGACTGTTACATAATATGCAGGAATTTACTTTGTATACAAAGTAAAGTCTTTGTGTAGACTGGGCTCTTTATCTCACATGTCTGCTGGTTGAAATGCAGGAATCTTCAGCTTGCGGAAATAAAACATGCAGCTATGAGCCAACATCTGTCCTTTCTACTACAAAATCTCAGAATGAACTCACTGGTATTGCACTCACTAGCAAAGCAAAGAGCTTAGAGCAGTTTCGAAGACCGACAGATGTTACCACATAAAAAAACCCTAACATTCTTGAGCATTTGGGCAAAATTTCAAATTCATATTCCCCACAAATGTATTTTAAGATTTACTGCTATTTTTGATATATATAATCACAGCAAATTAACTTATTTAGGTATTTTATCTGCATTAAACTGTGTGCTCCACAGACCAACTTGCAATTTTGTGAATTAGGTCTCATCTTGAAAAATGAAGTGTGGGGCAGATACACACTTGTACAATAAAGGGTATGTGCTTAAAAAAAACCCCACACACTCAACACAAACATTTATACTTGCCTAGGTGGATGCAGAATCAATTCAATGCTGTATCTGTCCCCCACCGGATCTAAAACTGAGAACTGTGTGATCAAATATCGCTGATCGCTCAGTTCTCAGCCTCCAGTGAGCAGAGAGCTGGTGACAGTTACTCACCAACTCTCTGCTCTGCCCCTCCAGTGCTCACTGGAGCATCAGGCTGTGAAGAGTGCGGGGACAGCTGGCTAAGCCAGCTGCCGGTCCAGGCATATCGGTGAATCCCAAGTAACATCAGCCAACACCAAGTCACAAAAGTGCAGAACGAACTGCACTCCTGTGATCCCCAGGAGACGAACAGACATAAAAACTTTGGAATGGAAAGGAGAAGTATAATCAAACAACCAAAATAACATCAAAAATAGAATATCCACTGGGATCCTTGTACATTCATGGTAACAAATACCCCCCTCAGTACCTTCACCAAAAAGAACAGAAGAGCTCACTCTTCTGTTTAAAAAATAAACATTATATGAAGTGCCTGGAAGCAGGTTTCCTAATTTCAATAGGAATATCTGGAAAAGTCACTTTTGTGATTAGAGAAATTTGTAAATATCTAGGGAGGGAGTAAACTCCACCCCAGAATACCATGAAATTGGTAAAAACATCAGACAAAAAAAATTGTTTTAGTACTCAAGTAATGTCAACTAAAGCATAACAAATACTCACTTGTTCTATGTACTCCTGTAAGTTCAGCACTTTCCCTTTCTTCATAAACTGAATGAACATTGACCCGATATTCTGTATATGGAAGAAGATCTACAAAAGAAATAAAATCGCAATTTTATAACCAATTAAAACACTTTCCTATGTGTGATCCTGATCAAGCTGAAAGCAGCTCAGAAGATTAAAGCTTAAGCAAGCACTAGAAACTTAATGGAATAACCTGTAAAATTTGGCATATCTTGAAAAGGAGCAGTATATAAAAACTAGCTACATTTTCTGAACGCCTGGATTCAAATTGGTGCTAGCTGGAGAACCCCCCTAACAGCTATCTGGATAAATACAATATGTTGCTCACCTTATGGACATTAAACTAAAGGATTTCGTTTTGGATGGTGTGGAGGGATTACAATGCTTGTCCATTTTTATTATAGTCTGTGCCCCTGTTAAGGGGGTTCACCCTCTTTGTCCGGTTTACTGTTATCATTGACCGTGGACATAGAGAACATCGCAAATTTTGGGTTGTCCCCCAGAAAAGTAATGGTTTCACGGTTCTGTCCAAACATCAGCATATATTTTCACTAAACAATTAAAAAAGACCTATATCCATGCTCACATTCAACTTGCTATCTGAGCAACTTTTTATTTTAAAGTACTTCTATAGCGCCGTCCCCAAGACTAAGTTTTTGTAGTTAACCAAAACCTGTCTTTATAATTCCAATTTCCAGCTGAAGTCATGCTTGGACTGAATGTGCTTCATTTGTAAACTAAGGAGGGAGTAGTGGTATTTTACTTGAATGGGCACTGTCAGAGTGTTTACATTTTATGGAGCAGAAAAAAAAAAAAAAAAAAAAAAAAAATGGAGGAGACTAAAGACTTGCGGGGTCTGAAAGTGTTGTGAAGACAATTGTGGCAGGAAAATACACTATTTGTGAAACACACACACACCATTACACTGCAATTTCAATTCTCCATTTATAGTTGAAATCTTACTTGTTAGCACAACCATGTTATCGGTTCGAGAGATGGATAATTCAGTAACATCTTCAGGTCTCTTGACAGGGAAATAGCGTACAAGGAAGTTGGACAGCTCAATGGAAGTTGGGGGAGACCAAGTCACACGCATTGTGTCAGGACCAGTATTGGTGAAGCGCAAGTGTGTTGGGGGTGGAACAGCTAAAACATAAAAGATTAATAAAAAAAAAAAAAAAAGAAAAGAAAAATTTAGCCAATACATGAAGTGTGCACATTTCAAACAAATATTCATGCACTGAACATGCAAACACTAACTGCTTTAAAAAAAAAAAGAAAAAAAAAAAAAAAAAAAAAAAAAACACTATCCCAGATTTACTAGATTGGGCATTTACAAAGGGTAATTCATGTACGTATTTATGGTTCTAGATTAAGAGGCACTCAGGTTTAACCAAGACAACAGCCAAGACTTGTTTTTCAAATAAGTGAGGAAACCTTGGAGACTCTTAAAGCATTAAAGGCTTAACTGCAGTTTTATCTGGAAGATTTCCCCTGGAAAGATTTAGGGAAGATTTCTGGTGCCACCTTGGAAGTGAAGATAAATGCCCCCAGTAGGATTACAGTAAAAAGGATACCAGGTTGGCATAGGTTACTGTATTTCGCACATTAGTGATTCAAGATACACTCTTAACAGGTGTTTCCCATTACATGATTAAAAAAATAAATAAAAATAAAACAAAAAAACTGTATCTGGACATTACAAGAGTTACCTTACTTTTTATAAAATTCTGAATGTATTGCTTGTCCTGCATCCAGCACCTTGCTTTATCACAACAGAATATTACAGTAGTATAAAGTATGTGTAAAATACATTACAGTACGACATGGTTTCACAAAAATCTAAACATAGAAATTTCTAAAGGTTTTAAAAAGATACGGTTTCCAATACTGGAACGTAACAGGAAGGGCTCCTTTAAAATGCTTTTTGAAGGACATTCAAACATGCATGCAGCGACACCATCATTCCAAAAGTTACATGCAGTACAGAGGGTAGACACGGTTGTATGCGATTCACCCACGTGAACATTACATCTTTGTTACAATATTTACGTCGGATTGTTAAAAAAAAAAAAAAAAAAAAAAAAAAAAGAAGAAGGGGAAGAAGAAACATAGATCTAGGTTTTAAGATTTTTTTTCTCATTTCTGGGCCTGTGATACAAATCACATCCCAATCTAAAGAAGGATCCCCTATAGGCATCATTTAAAGAAAAAAAAAATGTTATAGTTAATGTATGGTTTCAATTGCTCTGACATAGCAGCAACAAAACCTGCCATGCCCATTTGATTGTAAGCTATGAACCTCTAGAGAAAGTCAAATTTTAAGAATCCTTCATCCAAGATATTACTGAGGCCAACATATTCCTTTTCATTATGCAGGTGAACACAGACAACAGAACCCTCCTCTGCAAAGTGGCTAGGATTTTACAATCACCCGTTTGTTGTATGATTGTGGTCGGGGCGCTCTCTCCACCGTTAATGAGGGTTATCACGCTGATCTCATAATCAATGCCGGGCTCCAGTCCTGAGACCTTGTAATACCCCTGTGAAGGGTGCACAGACTCCTCGTAGACAGGAACAGACTCTCCTGCAGCAACCACCGTGATTCGGTAGCCGATAATGGTGGAGGAATTAAGGGGTGTCCATCTCAGGTCAATACTTGTATCGGTTACATCGACAAACTTTAGGTCAGTGAGCTGGGGGATCTCTGGCAGGGTGATGCAGGAAGCAGAGGGAATGGAGGCAGGGGGAGGAAGCAAAGCATGTCAATCAAGAATTGCATAATTACACGTAATTATTAAAGCAATACAAAAATTAGAAAAAGCAACTGATACTCAAAGTGTGTCTGATTTCATGAAAACAAGTATGGAATTGATGCTTTACTGCATTGAATTTTGCAAAGCTTGTGCAGGTAGTCCTTTAGACAGATAGGATTGCACATGTAAAATGCATGTGCAAAAATGCTTTGAATGTTTTAAGAGGTTAGTGTATAGCAGTTTCAGCTCTGAGTTTAACGTACAGAAGACTCAAACTGGCATGATGGGTGCATGATGTTTTTTTTTTTTGTATACGTGCATCTATCCCCTACCTACATTGTAGGTAGCCAGTATGTGGGATACACCAGTGGTCATCCTCAATCTACCAAGTGTGTCTAAAAAAAAAATAGGTATTAGCACTGTTATATCGCAAACAAGAAATCCTAGAATGTACACCATGCAAGTCAACCGAAATGTTAAACCAGAAACATTTCTGTTTTCTTGTGTTGCTGTTGGAATGGACTTTTAGAAGCACCATGAAATAGCACCAAGCTGACCTGGATTAACTAGAAGATTACTGTATTAGGATTCCTGTCACAGTGACGTCACAAGCAAACAATACAACATAGGCCAGTTTAGCTTACAAAATGTTGCCTCCACAGTGAGGCAGCAAGAATTCAAACCAAGAGGACAGGAAATTAGCAAAAATCTGTAGATTGTCTGTAGTAACCAACTAAAATTCTTGTTTAATTTTTTCAAAAATTAAATGGTTGTTGCCACTGGTAACTCCTCCGATTTGTACTCATTTTGTGAAGAGAGGTTGGGTTCTATTGGCTTGACCAAGTTTGGGAGATCATCCTTTACTTCACATCTCAGTGACAACCAATACTGTGAGAGCAAGTGACGAAAATCCCCACAAGAAACCTCACCATTTGGAACTATTCTAGCCGCCCAAAATGTTGCTCAGTATCAGTTATTCTAGTTACAAAGACAAATGGATGATTTGCCTGAAATGTAGGAGTGTAAAGGTTCATAAAAAGAATCTCCAGACACACATTGGCACATTTTCATTGGGATGCAAGCAACACCAGCATTACATCAAGCAGAGATTAGTGCACTATATAGTTTTACTGTTGCAAGAAGATATTTCCCAGACACCATGGGAATGCAAACCAGTTATGAACACACAAGGTCAACCATGTTAGAGACATTATATGTGGGGAGTAGGACCTTATTTTCTACATAGTGATATTGTTCCGAGTAGAATAATCCCCACAACAATATGGAGACCTAGTAGGCAAGATCTACCTATCCTGAAAGCAACAGCCCCATTTGCAAGTGTGAATGGGGCCTTAAAACCACTGCTGCTCAATAGTTAAGAAACCAATAAAATCATGTTAACTCAAATACCCATTCCATAATTGTGTTGCTCTTTAAAGCCTTTTGAAAGTATATTTTGTCAATATACGGAGCTGCATGAAGTCAGATTATTGAAGCAAAGAATGCGCTAAAAGCAATGGAAGCAGAGAAAAAAAAAAATGTGCAGATACAGGTCATGGTAACAAATTTATCAAAACCAGAAAAGCCTAGTTAAAAAGCTGCAGTAATAGTCCCATCAATACCAGGGTTGTTTCCTAGGGAGGTAAAAACAGGCACAGTATAGTCAGCCCTTACCTTGAGAGGTTATTTTGGAGAGGGGGACACTTTCCTCTTCTCCCTTGACTGCATAAACACTGATATTATATTCCACACCAGGTCTAAGGCTCTCAAAAGTAAAAGAGGTCTGGCTTGCATCAACATCATCTTCTGTTGTATAGGCAAGCTGCCTTTCTGTGGGAGAGGAGGTTATCCTGTACCCAGTAATTCCTGCAGAGTAAAGAAGTAAAATTGGTTAGAAATATAGAACACTTTAAATAGAAAAAAGAAAAAAAAAAAAAGTCCAAAGCCAATATAAAATCCACAGCTCTAATACCAGACAACAGTCTCATTGAATCAGTTACATGTAATAATATACAATGCATTGATTTATTACAGCCTTTCAAACAGGGTGCTGTGGAACCCTGGGGTGCCTTGGTAAAATGCCTAGAAATTGCCCAAACATTGGCAACAAACTGGCGGGGTGGATCCACGCTGCCTTTTTGTTACCTAAAGACATAGGTTTTTATTGGCTAGTGTAAGAGGTGTAGAAAATAGGCAGCCCCATAAAATTTAAATCCAAAGCCTAATACCTAATATAACAATAATCTATCTTTGTCAATAGAAGATACTAGTGATTGCATTTTTATTGTACCATCACAAGAGGGCAGAACTACTTCCTGTGATAATAGGAAGACACAGAAGTAGGAACCAAAAGTCTAACACTTTGTTTCCTACAGGACAGTGATTACAGTGAACATATCCAGTCACATGTAATTAAGGGTTTTCTGTGTTTGTTACAGGTAAGCAGGAGGCTGTTTAACATGATAAATAGGACAAAATGACTTAACATGTGCCCTGGTGGTTAGTAAATGTCGCTGCTACTATTATACAATCAGATTACTTGTAGCATAAATGTGAATATATATTGCAGCTATATGATTTGGCGCTAAGATACAGGGAATGTGATTTCTCTATTGTAATACGCTATTGTTATGCAGAATAGGTCACTAGCATATCTGCAGAGGTCTAGATATTCAGTATTGCAATTAAAGATGTTTATTAATGTATATGAAAATACTTATTAATGTATATGGGAATATTTAGTAAGTTATAGAGGACAGTGATTACAGTGAACATATCAAGTCACATGTAATTAAGGGTTTTCTGTGTTTGTTACAGCCATTCCTAATAAAACACTTCTGGTTTCACCCGACCCATCCTTCGCACAGTTGAATTATTTACCGTATGTGCAACACTTGTTTGGTTGAACTTCACTATATAGGATTTGGTGAGACTGTTGAATGTTATTTTGAATTGAATTTAGTGTGCTGCTTGGAGCTATATATTACTGCTAGTAACTCTGCATGCAAAACGGAACTCCTTACCTGGGGAGGTACTTCTATCCCAATAGATGGTCAGAGTGACAGAATCTGGGCTTGGCAGGAAGCGAAGGTTGGTTGGTGGTGAAATTGCTGTTAAGATAATTAAAAGAAATAGCTTGTTGAATATCACCGTCAAAAGATGACAATGGTAGAATGCAAATGAAAACCAAACAACTTCACAGGACATAAGACAAAACCAGGAAATATGGGCAGCAAAGGAAGTGTAAAATTGCATTTGTTATGTGTCTCTTTAGTCTATAAGACCCTAACAATACCTCTGGGGAGTCTGGGTCAGAATCCACAGCTCGGCAGACTTTTGCTGTCTCTCGCCATCTGCCATTATTATTGATTTAGGATCATAAAGCAAAATAGAAGGACCTGTAGGTGCCCCTGTTATACTTTTAGCATGATGTATAGGAGTTATACAATGGCATTACAATACTCTCACGTAAGTATCTGCTGCTACAATTGTTTAAACCACTTTCCTACTAGGCATTTTTACCCCCTTCCTGCCCAGGCCAATTTTCCGCTTTCAGTGCTGTTGCACTTTGAATGACAATTGCGCAGTCATGCAACACTACCTATATAAAATGTTTATTTTTTTCACACAAATAGAGCTTTTTGGTGGTATTCAATTGCCACTGGGGGTTTTCATTTTTTGCACTATAACCAAAAAAAATAAAATAAAAGCGAAAAATGTGGGTAAAAAAAATAGGTTCTCTGTTTCCATTAGAAAATTTTGCAAACAGGTAATTTATTCCTTCACTGATGGGCGTTGAGGAGGTGGCACTGATGGGCGTTGATGAGGCGGCACTGAGACAGTGCGAGGAAAGTGCTGCTGATAACCTGTAACTATTTACTTTGTGATCAGCTATGTCATTGGACACAGCTGATCACATGGTAAAAGGCTGCTGTGAATGGCCTTTTACCTCGTCACGTGATCAGCTGTGTCTGTAGGACACGGCAATCACTGACAGCGATGGGTGGGGGGCGCGTTCTGGGAGGGCGTCCATGGACACCCTCCCAGAACTGGTCAACCGCACTGTAGCTGTCTTTTGGCTATAGTGTGGTTGGCAAACGGTTAAAGTATGTGTAAACCCTAAATGGGCTAAAGGAATATGCATCAAATCAACCAATAGCAATGTTTTTTCATCTTTAATTTATTAGCTCAGTGCTGCTGACCTCCAGCCTACCTTCCTGTCTCCAATTCACTCCTGCCCATTCTTTTAGGCCAGTATCCGGATAGTGACATCAGTGAACCGTGCATTACGCAGAACTATACAGTTAGAGCTTAAACATACCAATGTAAAACTATTGAAAAATGTCTTTAGAAGATATATTAACATGCCTATGTGTTATTTTAGTGGTTGGGTTTACATATACTTTAACAGCCAACTTGTATGACATGCAATATCAGGTACAAATGTTCCTGTATCTAGTCCCTAAGAAATTGATCAGATGCCAGTGGGTATGCAGAGCTTAACCCCCATACAAAGCTATAGGAAAAAACTTTGAATCAGGGGTATTAATAAATTAAATGGATTTATCCTTACGAGTCACAACAGTCTTGGTGATGGGGGATTCGCTCTCTTCACCGTCCTTGAGAACAGAGATACTGTAGGTATACTCAACGCCTGGTGTGAGGCCAGAGATCACAATACTTCCAGACTCGGAGATCACTTCTCTTGGTGCTTCACCACCTTGGCTGGGACGCACATCCAACTGGTTTATTTAACAAGACAAATGGGAAGCATTTGTTATATTGTCAAATGCCTGTAAATAAATTCCATAGCACCAACACAGTAAAAATGGCAGTATATATTACTCACCACTTTCCTGAACCAGAAAGCATGTTACAAACAGAGATGAACAGTATCATTTGAAAGATAAATACATCCCACCCTTGTCATTCTATGGACTTCTTCCTGCATTCAATCATTAGATTTAAAGTATGTGTCTATAAAACAATACCCCTAATTTAATAGGGCAAAGAAAAATGTGCCAAGTAATGACATCCAAACCAAAGGATTTCATGTTTTGTTTTACCAGCAAAAGCTGATAAAATAAGCAGTAACCATATCAATCTAATTTCATTTGCTGGCTTGACTGATTTCACCAACTCAATTAGATATGTCCATACAACCACCAGAATAATTTTTTTGGGTCTCCCTTCCACGTTGGCTTATCATACTGTACATCTAAGTGCACAAAAATTAGGACAACCAACTCAGTCAAAAGATCAATCGCTTGTTTATAAGCAGAGGCTGTGAAAAAAAAAAATAATTATATATTTATATTAATAATAGATGGTCAATTATCAAGCAAACTTGTGACATAACAGCCACCATAGCAGCTTACACTGCTACTATTGTGACTGGGGGTGGAAGGGCCGCCATTAAAAGGGCTGTTGAGGCAAATTAAGCCTAGAAAAGCTGTACGCACGTGAAGATAAACACAAATCCAGTACTGTAGTGGTAGGAATTGCAATGGTTGCGGTTGACAAACTCTGTACCCACTGTAGAAATGCAGAAAAAAAAGTGCCACACCAAAACAGATGAAAAAAAACCACCATTACATTTCTGGGGCAACACCACTCCTCCATCAGGGCTACCTTCATTTTGTAAAGCGCTGCGCAAACTGTTGGCGCTATATAAATCCTGTATAATAATAATAATAATAATAATAATAATAAACACAGGATAAAATAGAGCAAGGACTTTGAGAAGATACAAAAAAAACCAAACAAAAAAACCTCACAGATCTACATTAGGATCAGTATTAAATTCTCCACATGGAGTAACAACTTGACAGCAGGTGCTGAGCAACAATGGAGAACCTCTATGTTAAGCTTTCAATTTTTAATATAGATTTCTGCAGTCCATATTCGTATTTTAACCTGTGTGGGAGTGGTGTTGCACCTAAAAATGTGTTGGTAGTAGTTTTAGGACTTTTTTTTGTTTTTTATTAATGTCAGAAAGTAGCCTCAGATTTATTGCTGCTAACCACAAATCCCCTTTGCTGGCTGTGCTGTAACAGGAATTTGTTTAGATGTCTTAGTAGTGTAGATTTATTGCTCACAGCTTCTGGTCATCCTGGCCAGCACTAGAATTAACTTTGTATGCCTAATTAAGGCTGTAAAAATCCCAGAGCGTCTCCTTGGCTAAAAAATTGACAACTGCTTGCAGCTATGGAAAAGATCCAGTTTGAGATACTGAAAAGACTGGTGCGCCACTATGGACAGGAAGAGTTGGCTAGAAAATGAATCTTAAGTTAAAAAAAAAACAAAAAAACACCAGAGACTTCCACTGCTGACATCTTATGAAAAACAACTGGTTGAATGGTTGCCATGTGATCCAATAACTTCAGTATACGGTCCCCAACATGCCACAGGTATGCAGGGCAGGAGTTCTGATTTGCCTAGCTAAACACTGGTACTAGGCATCATTGAAGCCAAGGACACAGCTCTTGTATACCTTTCACGACAGGAATCCTATAAACAAGTACATGTATTTACCTTAAATCCGATTCTTGGCACAGGGGGTCCATGTAATAATTATGGTGGTCTCAGTAACTTCTGTGTTAAATGGAGGAATAGACCCAACTGGCTCCACTAAAAAGGAAAAAAATACAATAGAGGTAACACGAAGAGGAGAGTGTATCACAAATAATGGATAATACAATAAGAAAATGTATTTGCTTCATAGCAGTAGGAAGCTAGCTTAGCAACTACTTTAAAAGCTGCTAAGGAGAATTAGGCCTTGAAGCATCCATTTAGATTGGCTTGAATAAATCTTAAAAGAATCTTAATATCCCAAAGCAATAATGGAATTAATTTCCATTGTGGAGATGGTAAATGCAATGCTGTGGACACACACACACACGTACGTGTGTGTATATATATATATATATATATATTTTTTTTTTTTCCTCTTTTTTTTTACAAGATCCCCTCATCCATAACCATGTACTACAAAAATGAAAAGGTCTTCTCATCAGTAATCCAGGGTATAGTAAACATCTGTCTATAGATGCACAGTGTGAAACACACCACTGTTTACCAAATGGATGTCTGGGGGCTGTTTACTACAGTCTGTTCTCAGAACCCTTTTCCAGGGTCTGTGCTTAGATCTTTTCCCATGAGGTTAGTTCAACAACACAGCATTTGCCTAAACCTACATCCTGCAGACTGCTTGAAGTGGTCAGGCCTCCATCGCCAAAAATCACAAAATATTCCACTAAGGTTTACATGTCCAACAAACCCTGCAAACCTACAACCCACTTGCTATTTGAAGTTTTCAGGGTATATATTTATATATCACTTGAGTGTTCAAGCTGCATAATTAAACTGAAAATAAAAAGCGTGACGTGTGTACCTAGTTCCAGGACATCGGAAAGGACTTGAGAATTCCTAGCTGGACAGCGAGACATTCCTAGAATACTGACTGGTTTAACCAGTTCGTTGACAATATACACTAAAATAGCAGTGGAGTGGGAGAAATCTGCAACCAATTTATAGCCTGGGCAAAGAAGAGGTTTTGTGGCTGCCCAGAAAGGATTATCTGATTAATGCATACACAGCAAGAATCTGTTTGATCCTAACATTCTGGCTTATTTTATGAGGTGTTATTTGGATGCTTAGAGTAAAAAATATTTGCAAACTTTCCTGGAACTTTATTGCAGTGTCCGCACAAACATCTGCACACAAATATGCACTTTTTTTTCTTTTAAAAGAAGAAAAAAAAAAGAATTAGTAAAAAATTATATTATATAATATATATATATATATATATACACACACACACACACACACACACACACATATATATACACATACATATACACACACACATACACACACACACACACACACACACACACACACATATATATACATACACACACACACACACACACACACACAAAAACAAAAGAAAAAAAAAAAAAAAACACAGGATATGCTATAAAAAAAAAAAACAAAAAACAAAAACCAAAAACACATTTTTGCAGTCAGGTGTTTCTATACCAGATATCATCTGCAGGGAGTGCTACACACAATCACAGACCTCTTACCTTGAAATAAATTTCAAGTCAAATTTGAGAAAACGCCCAACAATATATTTATGTCTTCCCATTCACACCACTTTGTGTACTTGTACATCCCCCCCCCAAAAAAAACAATTGACCAAAAACACCCCAAAACACTTTTAAAGGAATAGTTCTTAGCTTCTGGAGGTTTCCCAGGAAAGAAGGCCTCATGGCAGACTGCAAGCATTTCTGAACAGCTTTAAAGTCAGTCTGTCCCAAAGACAGACTAAAGCTGGCAATACACTAGGAGAATTTTGTTCAAAACGGTTTCAAGAACAAATTGTTCAATTGTGGCATCAAAACAACTTTGGGATCTAACCACATTGACAAAAAAATTGGATGGAGCAGGATGGAAAATGTTTTGAATTTCTAACAGTGAGTTTAAGAATGGACTTTCTTGAATGAAAACATACAAACAACATGTTGACATACCTTTGAATGACATTTGCAAAGTCATCAAATGCAACGACTTTTCGTACCAAAAAAACAAAAAACTATTTTTTTCAAAAATCTACTAGCGACATAGCCAGTTGGAGTTTCTTTCCTTTCTGAACTGTTTATTAGCACAGAGTGTTCAAATTTAGTTTGAAACGGATAATGTGCTCCTCCTCAACAGGAACCAGTTAGGACTTTTTTTTAAGTGCTGGTGTGATCAGAAGAGTATCTAAAACTATAACCAATTTTTGTTTTTCTTTTTTAAAGTTATGCTAAGGGAATATGCAAGAAATGTTAAAGTTTCATCTGCAAAAGTGGAAATGCACTTTAAAGAAAGTGATGAGGGTGGTAATACAGCAAAAACTCCAGAATGACAGAAATAACCAGCTTTATACTTACATGTTGAGAAGATTCCTGTAGAGGGCTGACTCTGCTGATTTCCTTTCAGTGCAACCAGAGAAACTGTATATTCTGCTCCAGGCTGCAGACTCCTCAGTTTATAGCTTGTTGTAGTGGAGGGTATATCGAACTGGTTAGGCTGTCCACCACGGGTCTGACTCAGTGAAAGAACATAGCGATCAATCTTGGCTCGCGAAGGTGTCCATACAATAAGGACTGAAGATTCAGTCAAGTCTTCGAACTTCAAATCAGATGGAGAGTCTAACTCTACATAGAAGACAGGTCATCAATCTCTAGCAAAGATATCTAGGTCTAAAGAATATGTTTAAAAATTGTACACCCCCCCCCCCCAAAAGTACACATAGGCTCCTCTACTTTTACAGAATGCGCATTTAAGACTGGCTGGCTATAAATTAACAAAAGTTTCTTGAGTAGGAACAATTTGTTCCCTCCATCCCCCCAATACAATTAAATGCTGCCCTGTAAAAATGACAGCTGGCTGTTAGAATTCAATTGGACACAAGAGCCAATATAGAGGTATACTTAGAGATAAGTCACAAAAAAAAGTTAATGGTTTGTAGTAAATACTGGTAAATCTTCTCAAAGAAAACGCAACATTCCCACAAATGGCAACCAGAACCATTTATTCCCGCCCCCGTCAAAAGATACTGCCTAGTAAATTCCCATACTTGATCATAGGACAAAAATCCTAACTGTGGCAGAAGTATGTAGCTGCAAACCCAGAATTATATAAAAAAAAAAAAAAAAAAAAAAAAAAAAAAAAAAAAAAAAAAAAAAGAAGGTCCATTGCTGGGACATCCATTCTGAAAGTAAATATTAGGCCTACATTACCATTTCTAATACAGCCTTTTCAAATTAGTTTTTTTTTTTTTGCTGCTGCATGCTGCACATTCAACTTATAGGAAATCCCTTGTGGCTATACTGTAAATGGACTCTGCAAGCTCAACATTTTCCTGCCACTAGCTTATTCAATAGTCACTTCCTTTACTTACGCAGCTACAGCAGTTGTGAACTTACTGGTTGAGAAATCTCCTAAAAGAGGTTGGCTCTCTTGTCCGCGGCTGACTGCATAGACTTGAAATCTGTAGGTGGTACCAGGGCGCAAGTTAACAACCTCTGCAAAGGTGCTTCGGCTCACTGGCAAGTTTTGAGTGTCATGGCCTGATGGTCTAACTGGTGTCACAACAAACACGGTACCCAGACACTTCGCTTGCTGGAGCGCTCCATGAAATTGTTATCTTCATGTCAGTTTGCATCAAGCAGTTGCAGATCAGTGGGTGATGGGACAATCACTGTACAAAACCAACATGATTTTCAGTTTAAACTGCCATCTGTAGAATTGCTGGCAAAAATGTATCGGACATACAAAATTACAAAAAAATAGAAATTTATAAAGAGTCGAGTCAATTTCTCTTTTCGATTTGATAATGTAAAAGATATTTTAAAATGGAGGTCCTTATCCTGGTGTTTCAGCTTTAGAGTATTGAGACCAGGGCTATCCCTTAGGCTTGCACTTGCTACAAATGTTGTAAAAAAGCATTTTTGCAGTACTAGTATATTACTATGTAGGTAAACTACATAATATACAGGCATCCATCACACACACACACACACACTCTAAGAAAACATATCCACTGAGCTTTTCCTAGAGAAAAATGGAAAAAAAAAAAAAAAAAAGGATGCAAAATGAGTCAGTTGGTCCAACTTTATTCATAAGCCAAGTTCCTGTAAGTCAGCTTCTAGTACCTAGCCAGCTACAAGAGAACTTTACACAAATACCAATTATAGACACCGAGCCAAGATATGCACTCCAATCTCTTTCCATCTCACCAACCAATAAAAATACAGAGTACCAGAATTTTTCCTTTACCACATAACCTTGCATACATAAAAGAAAGTGCAAAGGCTTTGAATATTTGCAGCCACTACAAACAAAAACCATGAAGAGAAGCAGCCAAAATGTAGAGAGGTATTGGACATTGTTTTTAATTAGTTGCTGGCTTTAAATCACAGAACATGTTCCTGCAGTAGCTTAAACATTTACATTCTATATTCTCACTCATCAATTCAGACATATTGAAATATGGAGTGCCAAGATATGCATGCCAGCAGAGGAAAACACCAGTAAATGTTCTAGCTACTTCTCTTTTCACTTAGGAATGGGCTCCCTCCAAGCATACCTGCCCTTTATCCATTGCTATATATGCTCCAACTTGGAGACTCAAATATAGGTGTTAGGGCTTGACTTTATGGAGGATACCTGATGTCGTAGTGCAGCTTCTACATAAATTTGCACTTAAAACCAGTGTTTTTAATGTGTACACAGTGCCATTAAGTTTTTTTTGCAGGCTAGATGGCAAGTGTGCTAGGAAATCTTTTGTTTGTATGTGCTATGCAATGCCCTTCGATGTGCACCCTACTTAAAACGCTAGTTCTAAATTGGGGTGTTTGCCATTGTTGTATAACTTGCTGGATTTGGCATGCGGACACATGGGACACTTTCAGCTGCCATTGTGGCCATAGCTCTGAGGAAAGAGATTGGGTCCCTGAAATGAGTCAGCTGCTTTATGTCATCCCATCTCGAGGTTGAGGTGGAGAGCAGACTCAGTTGTGTTTTATGCATCTACATGCTTTGAGCTCACTACACTGGTGAGTATATTTTATGCCTTTGTTATTACAATAAAGTGTAAAAACAAATCATGCACTAGGCGTTTGCTCCCTCTTGTATTTATTTATTGCAGTGTTGGATTCCCCCCTCCCCCCGATCTGAAGGAAGGCAGCACCCCCATCTTTCCAGTTTCGGTTGTACAACAACTTATGTTACACATGGTCACACAATGAATGCCTTTATCTTCTTCTGAGCACTATAGTGTCAAGTTTGAATTTTTGTCTTTACAAAGTCTGCAGGACATACTAGCACATTATGACATAACCCACCTGGGGGCCCCTAAAAAGAAATTAAAAGTTGACTTTTCTACCATTTTGATTAATCCACTGCTATATATGCTTCAACTTTGACTCTAAGAGTTAGGACTGCACTTTACAGAAGGAACCTTGGTGATGCAGTGTGGCTTCCACATGTTTGCAAATAAAACCTCTGTTTTTAATGTAACTTGTCAGACAGTGCCTTTTTTTCTGCTGGCTATTCGATAAGTATACTGGGAAAGCTTTTGTTTTTTTTCCTTTTCACATGTGCCTGTGCAGGCTTCAGTACCAATGATACTGAACTTATCTACCTTGTTGTGGGGTTCCAGTGGTTTCCTTCTGGATGACAACTGGCGTACTCTCCTGACTGTCCTCTACTGCATAGATTGTTATGTTGTATTCAACACCTGGATAAAGGCCAGTGAGGGTTACTGAAGTGGCAGTTTCTGGGAGGAGAAGTTCTGTGCTGGCTCCTTCCACAGTTGGAGCATAGACAATTCTGTAGCCTGTAATACACATCAAAAAAAAAAAAATCAGTTACATTCTGAGACAAGCAGCTTTAAACAAAGCAGTCAAGATATTCATACAGCAACCATTCACTGACCGTGTTTCCATCATAGAATTTAAATGTGATGCTAGAGGATGGTTAAAAGGTGGCAGACTTTGCAAATGTGATCCAGCTGCCCAATAGGCTAACATATGTTCATGTTTGTGCCTAAGGTAGAAGGAATTGGGAGCACTTGTGGACCTGACAACTGCCTGTCTTGTCTTTTTTCATGAAAACAAAAATGAAAAATACTTAAATCAAATCCAGCCTATTGCTCCTCTGCCAAAAGATAGCTCAGAGACACTGCCTCATCTGGCCATAGGCACCTTAAAAAGAGAAGTATTGCGGTTTAAACAAAAAACAAAAAAAAAACCCACACACACTCCCTTAGGTGGGTGCAGTATAGATCCGATGCTGCCTATGTCCTCTGCCAGCCCTGCACAGAGAATTGAGCAACCACAGGTGATCGTTCAGTTCCTCCCCCCCCCCCCCCCCCCCTTCCCCACTCTGCTCTGAGCAGAAAGTCCTGACTGTCATTGGCTCTCTGCTCTGGCCCTCTAGCGCTCACTGGAGTGCTTGGCTGTTGCTGGAGCAGGTGGGGCTGGCTCAGTCTCAGCAGACCATTGTAAGCCAGGTGCTGGTCCAGGCTTCTAGTTGGATTCCAACCATACGGTTGTGATTTTTTCACAGCCTGGGTTGGCTTTGTGACAGCCGACAGCAGGCTTTTACCAACTGTTGGCTGAAAACGGGTCACGGTAGTGCAGAATAAACTGCACTCCTATGATCCATAGAAGTATAGCCAAAATAGCTTTGTCTATACTTTTAAGACTTCCTGGAGTCACGCTCAGTTGAGGTCTGTAATCAAATTTGCAGAATATGAGATAGAAACATCGAGAGAGAGAGACAGAGAGAGACATCGAGAGACAGACACAGACAGACATCGAGACACAGACAGACATCGAGAGACAGACACACAGACACAGACATCGAGAGAGAGACAGACATCGAGAGACGGACAGAGACAGACAGAGACAGACACAGACATCGAGAGAGACAGACACAGAGACAGACACAGACATCGAGAGACAGACAGACAGAGACAGACACAGACATCGAGAGACAGACAGAGACAGACACACAGACATCGAGAGACAGACAGACATAGATATAGATATATATATTTTAGGCAAAGCACCACACATGCAAGCTTTTACCAGTAATAGGAGCTTGAGGTTTGGTCCAGCTAACCATAATAGATGTATCATCAACATGTTCAATATTGTATTCAGGAGGGCTGTCAGGTGCTGTAAAAAAAAACAAAAAACAAAGAAAGAGAATAATAAGACATTATATCTACTGAACACTAGGATTTCATTTTTGGAGTCAAGCTACAATTAAAACTGCAAACTAATTTGCACATTTGCCAGCTTTCAATAAATAAACTAATTGCAGATTAATATTAAGCAAAAATGTATGACCATACTCACCAGTTGTTTGAGAAGTGGACAAGATTAAGCTCCTTCCCCCCTCCTCACTGATCTCATACACATTGACAATGTATTTGCGTCCTGGCAGCAGGTCTGGGATACTGACAGAAGAAGCAGTGTTGGGGAGATCTAATTAAGAAAAAACACATTTGTCATAAAAAGCTCAAAAGCAGCCTACACAATTATATTGTCAACGAAGAAAATATGGGCATTATACAGACAACTTGTCAAGTCTAAAGTTAAAACTGGAAGCATACAAACTCAAGCTTGAATTAAATAATTGTGAGGTCGTCATATGATAAAAGGTTGGATCTGTGCATTACTATGTCATGCTCATTTCTAAGACCTTGTTGACACTCACCCAAGTAGCGTTTTTCCTCTCCCTCCTCGCTGAGCTCATATTCCACACGGAATCCAGAGACTGTGTCAGATGCAGAAACCCAAGACACCACAAAACTGCTTGAGGTGATCTCTGTTACAGACTCTGAAGTGGCCACCAGTGGTGGAAGAGGGATAGTGTCCCCAGACTGAGTAGGACCTGTATATAAAAAAGGAAAAAAAAAAAAGCAGTTAAAGGCTAAAAAATGGAAAAAAATAAAAATGTATATGAAAAAAAAAATAAAAAAAAAAAAAATAAAATAAAAATTTTTTTTTTTTTTTTTTCTCTAAAATAATAAACGTTATAACTGCCTAATCTGTGCAATGCACAGAGCAACCCTGAACCTCTTCTGGGGTCCACCGCCGGCACTCTCAGCTCCTACCTGTTCTGTGTGCATACATAGATGCACATTGCATGGCATGCCCCAGCCCTTGCTCCCTCCTCACAGGATCTGATTGACAGCAGCAGGAGCCAATGACTCCCACTGCTCTTACAGAGTCCTGTGAGGAGAGGAAGATAGCAGCTCGAGAAAGGACTAAAGTATAAAAGAGGGTGATGCGCAATACAACCACTGCAATGTTTTTTTACTTAATACAGGGAATACAACAAGGTAAAAAAATGCTTTGCCTTTACAACCACTTTAAGGGAACATTCAGTCAATTTTAAAAACATTCTAAAAATGGACCATAAAAAAAACAAAAAAAAAAAAAAAACACCCTTCAAAATGAAACCATTGGATCCTGTCTAAAATTGGCCCTTGTATATGAATATGAGCTAGGGACCTTAGATTGTACACCCCTTGAGGGTTAGGGACTGATATATATATATATATATATATATATATGGAGCGCTGCGTAAATTGACGGCGCTATACAAGTACCTGAAATAAATAATAAATAAAAATAAATTATATACTTTACATTTACAAGATGTCCATATGAAAGTGGACAGAGGCCCATAAAAACCAAAAGGCTGATAAACGCAAATATTTTGCCACATAATCCCAACTACTCTCCATCACTGAAAACAGAGATTATATTTCTTTGTTGTTTAATGCTAGATTAGCCCTTTATCTACAAAGCAATGAATGGAGCAGATTAGTGAACCAAAATGCTTTGAAGGAGAGTTGTAAATCCCTTGACCCTTCCTGGGAGCTATCTGTAACCAAAATCAAACAAGCACCCATTTTTTTTTTTTTTTTTTTTAGCTGAAATAATGCATTAGCCATTTGCAATGTTACTATTTTCAACTTTTTTTTACAGCTGGAATGAAATTTAAATTTTCAAATCAGTCACATGGCTGCTTTTTGGTTTATGGCCACTGCCAATTCTACACTGCAGGCAGAGCTTTCTTATGCCAGCCATGTAAACGGCACAGTTTTGTTAACGGGTGGCCTAATATCACATTCTCATTAAGATAAAGTTCTGCTCAATCCACATATCTAACCAAAAATACTAGTATGGGGTCACTGGGGTGCTACAGTGATTGTACTTAACTGTTCCCCTCTCAGGGTATTGACTAGTACATATGACAAGAAAAAAAAAAAAATTGGAAGAAAAATATAGTTTTTGAAGCGTTCGTCCGATAACCTTATCGTTCGTATGTAAAAAATGCATTACACTGGAATTCCACAAATAAAAAAAACCAAAAAAAAAAAAAAAAAAAAAAAACAAAAAAACACACACACCACAGGATGTTTAATGCAAATGCAACTTCTCCTGCACCTCAACATCAAGTTCAGGTTTGCAAAGGCATCAAAGTCAGGAGCAAGTCAAACTCATGTTTTCAAGTCAATCATGTTTTCAGGAAAAAAGACTTGCATTTGCAATCAGTTTGAGAATAATTTTTGATAGTCAAAGTGAATGCACCTCAAACGGTTGAAAGAAAATTTCAATTATTAACCCCTTGGCGCCGACATCTCCTGGCCCTTTAAGGGTTTCAGAAGCCGGGAGGCGGGGGTGGGGTTTTTAGGGTCATGTGACCACCGTGATTCGCTGTCACATAATCCGGACAGGTCCCGATCGAAGGAGGAGATCGGGACCTTTCCGTGAGTACCGAACACATGTGCTGAAGTGCGCACGCTCTCAGCACACGTTTTTCTTAATTGCACGCAAATGTGCGGCCGCTCAGCATCAAGGCCCAGATGCCTGGAGGCTGCACTTTTGCGTGTGGCCAGAACCAAGAGGTTAATCTAGATTTAAAAGTGACCATTTGCAAATTCAAACTCTCTGGTCTTCTGGGTCCCTGGGAAGAACAGGAAGCTACTGAAAAAGTATGTGACAGCACATGAAGATTACTATATATCCATGTTGCTACTTTACATTACGAAAGGTGTACATTAAAGAAGGATCCCAAGCAAGCAGCTAAATAAAAACTGAAATACATTTGTGAACATTACGGACAACATTTTTGTTATGCTCTTTAGACAGCTTCATGACCTGGACGCAACTGCCAGACAGCACAGCTTAAAGTGGAACTTTAGGCTAGGAATTAAAGATTGGAGGACAGGCAAGATTTTTAATGCAGAAAGAAGCATGCTTTGCCTCTTCTGCAATAAAGCCACTTACCTGCCTGGTTGCACTTGTACAGTGAGCCATGTATGCGCAGCTCACTGTACCAATTCAGCGATGCCAACTCTGACTGAACTCCAGGACATGCACGGGCAAAAAAGCGGCAAGCGATCAAGACCCAAAAGCCAGCCGCCAGAAGATGTCAGCGGCCAAAACGGGGAGCTTGGGGATACCACATTGCTGGAGCCAAGGCATGTCTATAAATCTGCGTCTGGATCAACATGCCGTCAGTTCAGCAAAGTCTGAATGAATTTTGATCATTCTGTCCAACACATGGATTTGGAAAACCCGTCAATAAACAGCTGCAGCCGCTGACTGGTATTTTGACAGCACCAAGTTCCACTGTCAGAATACAAAGTCCTGGCAAAGAAGGGGGTGGGGATTTCCACATCAACCCCATCTGAGTGGATGAAGGAACCTGCTTTTCTTCATCCAGCCCACTGCCTGAAATGGGAAGAACACACACCTTAAGTGAACACAACAGCAGCTTGCTAATTGGACAAGAGTACCAGCAGCACAGGGAGGAGTCTGCTTCTTTTGCTCTTGTTGGCACCAATGCCTACAGCTTACTTAGTGCTGGCCCTCCCCCTGTAACAGTCTTCTCCTGTCAAGGGGTTTGCAGGTTCATAAAGACAAAGTTCAATATATACATACACTAGTTAAAATTAACTTAGTGGTGCTAACTTGGTGGAAGCACTTACTTCCTAGGGTGGTGGAGGTGGTCGTGAAGTCAAATCGGGTGACTTCTTTCTGTCCATATTGCAAGACACTTATAAGCTGTCCCTCATACACTACTCCAGGCTTCAGACCAGAAATTGTATAGGAATTCAGATGTCCTGGAATGGTGGCTTGTTTCCAAACAACTTGCTTGCTTTTCTAGAGGAAAAAAAAAAACACAAAAAAACACATCACAACATTATTGGTAATACTACAATATATTTAAAATTGAGAATACCTTTCACAAAATGACAGCAAAATACAAGGATCAAAAAGGACTGACCCTACTTAAAGAACCCTGCAACTAAAGAAAACCATTACTAGAAGTATTTTGGCTATGAAGAGCAGATGTTTTGTTTGTCACAGCCATGCAGAGTGGGTGTGAATCTTTAAAAAAAACAAAACAAAAAAAACAAAAAACAACCCACATTTAAAGCTAAAATGGCTGGAAATGTTTTAGTTTCAGACAGACATTCTACTTCAATTATCGTAGGTCCCATAATCATGGAGTCTCTCATTATGCCCATTGTACCCTTAATGAGCCTATCCATCATCAAGATAACAGAGCTAAAACAACGACTTTACGGAACCCTTTATGGAACATAACAATCCAGGAGCATTTACAGTAACTAAAAAAAGATGTTAGGAGGCTTCTTTATAGCTTCCAATAATCTAGATTTATGGCGCATCGTGGTCTATGTAGATTTCTACATTTATGGCCAAAGACCATTAGTTGCTAAGCTGAGCTTAAAGTGGTTCCAAAAGGTAAAAACGTTTACCTTGATGCATTCCCTGCATTAAATGTAAATAAAGTTTTATGACTTTGTGTGCCTTCCTCTCACCCCCTCCCAAATACTTCCCAGAGTCCTGTATCAATCCAGTGCTGTGCCCATCTGCCGGTCTTCTCTCCTCTTTCCCCACGCTCATGAACTTGGTAGACAGCAGCGGGAACCATGGACTCCTGCTGTCAGTCAAATCCTGTAAGCAGGCAACAGGGGGTGGAGTCAGGCAGCACTGAGTGCATCAATGTATGCACAAAGCCTGGCTCGGTATAGCGCCCCCACGCGTCTGCCCTCATAGCAAGCGCTTGCTATGGGGACAGACACAGAAGAAGAGGAGCCAAGATCGCTAGCACTACCATTACACAGAACAGGAGAGTATAACATGTTTGGTTTTAAATGCTTTTTTTACATTTACACTTTAAGGAATGTGCTTGGGAAGGATCTTTTAGCCTTCAACCATCCATTTTGATCACCATAGTTTATGACAATATCGATAGGGTGTTAACGTGGAGTTAGAGCAAACCATCTTGAGTCCCACAATCAATTGCTGTTGTATTCAAAATTATAAAATTATGAAATAGTTTCTGCTAGATTTGCAATAGCATGCAGCAATAGTTATAACAAAAATAAATAAATAAATTGGGTCCCACAAACATAGCAGTAGACAGGAGGTTAAGAATGTGAAATCAAGACATTGAGCCTGGGTTCACACCAATACAGTGCAGGAAACGCACAGGATTTGCAATTGTATTCAGGCGATCTGGTGCAGGTGTCAATGATAAAAACGGACACTCCGAAACAGATTGCGTTGCGCTTGCCAGAAATCGCACTGCATGGGTGAGAACTCTAATGTGATGCAATTCAGGTGTGGATTTTAAAAAGGGTCTTGCACCTCTTTGGAGTGGATGCGATCTGAGCCATACAAAAATGTTCACAAGCAGAACAGAATAAAGTCATAAATTCTTTCTACGAACAAAAGACAGGAAAAATGTCCAGACATCCAGTCCCCTTCTGCAGCCAAACACCTGCTGCTTTATTAAAGTGCTAAAACAATCACATACTACATTACTGCAGTGGGGAGGCAATGCAAAGAGATAGAACTACAAGAGAACTATGAGACAGACATACAGATAACCTCAGAAACACTTCTAAATCACAAATCCCAAAGCTTGCACAATATGAATGGATGGGTGGTCTATTTACCCACAGGAATTGGGATATTCTGACCACAAAAGCAGAAAAGTTACAGCTAACCATTAGCAAACTCCCCAGGTAGGGATATTCAAACAGATTCCAGTACCTGAAGATGTCAAAAAGGTGGTGTCCAAGAATTTCATCAATCTGTCTATATTATCTACATTTCTACTTTTACAAATATTACAAAGATTATTCAAGCCACTTGTACTTTTTTTTTTTTTATAACCTTGCTAAGGTTGTAAACGAAGGGAGGAAGAAAAAAAAAAAAAAAAAAAAAAAAAAAAACACACACCACTAAACCAAGAACACAAAAAAACACACAAACACACAAACACTTCACCACCATTCTACAATGAAAACCTAATTTTTGGTGCATATATATGAAAATACAAGTACAAAAAAAAAAAATAAAATTAAAGAAAAAAAAAAAAAAATTAAAATCAATGTTGTGGGGTCCTTAAGAGAAGGGCCCAAGGGGTAGTGATAGCCTAGTACACAAGGGGTGTACAATCAAGAAGCATTATTCTAGCTTATTAGCCAATGTAGATTTGTGCCACAGTTACCAGAATTTCTGAAATTTAAGAGGCAGTCTTGGTTAGCATAAATGACCTTCTCATAGGGAAGAATTTGAATTGGGAAATGCGGACCATTGGGTCACCATGGGAGAGAAGAGAATAATTCACTTGAATGAGAATCTTGCATTCTATATAAAAGATTCCCTTTTGAAAATTCTGGTACAATGCAGCCACAGGTCTTCATCCAACATGTAAAATATGTAGAACTCAGGACTGCATGGTATAAGGATTTGCAGCATGGAGAACATCATATGAACCACTTGAGACCAATAAGCAGATCTCACCAGGCAGGACTGAAGTGTACAAGTCTGCCTGCAGGCCAGTACATCTCAGGCAAATTGCGGTACTCAAGCGGCCCATTTATAAGGGCAAGCAGGAGAGAGGTATGTGACCTCACAATCTTCTGAATGAGTCAAACATCAGATCAGCCAATATAATATTAACAGTAATAGAATAGCATTGCATTATGGAAGCAAAGAGTCGACTTACAGGTTTCCAGCGCAGGATGTATTGCTTGATGTGTGACTGCTGAGGAGCGGTCCATTGAATGGGGGGGTGTGAGTTGGGATGGTTAGCACTTTCAGTGATTATTACCTGGACAGGTCCAGTTCCAGCTATCAAAAGAAGTAAAAACACACACAGAATAAAAAAACCCCCCAAAAAAAAAAAAAAAACCCAAAACACTTTATATAGAGAACACTACGAATTTCAGATAGGCCAGGGCTTACTGTAGACAACAGATTCATTTAGGAGGGTACAGAATTGTTTAAATTTGGGAACATTTCCCCACCCCCCTCCCCAAAAAAATTCTAGAGAATAGAAAACAATTGCATCAGATAATTTCAGCATTTGTGTCATGTACCCAAAAGGTTTGAATAATAGGTATTTCTATAAACTGCAAACTACAGCAGAGGACTGCTAAATTTCAGCATGCTTGCGTTTACATTGTAAGGAATACATAGCAACATCTCAGACCAGTATATACAGTATGGACCTATTCACAACTTTCCTACAGATTTGAATAGGACATCCAATAATGAATGGATTACACACCTAGGTAACATTAAGCAAGTACAAGCCCCAGTTAACACTTTCAGAGAATATATACAACACACACCCATCTAGGAAAAGTCATCCTCTTCCCATACATTATTGGCCATCTCATAAGATTAGTTCTGTACCATAATATTACTACTGCCAATATCAAAGAAAAATATTTGTATTTACCCAAGATATCAAATTAGATAAAGTTACAGTGGCGTACTTAAGGTGGTGTGATATATGGACTCTCTTGGGGAGTATCACCAACAGTGTCTGCTCAGGGCCAAGGAAAGGCTCCTTCCCTGCTCCCGTCACACAACACAGCCACAAGGGGGTCTCCTCACCCCCAAATGTGAACAGTCGCTACAAGGGGATGGGGAGGTCTGTACTGAGGACAACTCTGCTGGATGAGTGACTAGGTAATTTCCGAGAGATCTGTGCTGGGGAAGGGGGGACAAATTGTGCTGTATGAAGAGATCTGATCTGTGCCAGATGGGGGTGGCGATGCGATCTTTTTTGAGAGGTCTTTACTGGATGGGGAAGGCTACCTGTTAACCACTTCCTGTCCGGACACTTTTACCCCCTTCCTGTCCAGGGCAATTTTCAGCGCTATCACACTTTGAATGACAATTGTGCAGTCATGCAACACTGTACCCATTTTTTTTAAGACAGATAAAGCTTTATTTTGGTGGTATTTATTCACCGCTGGGATTTTTATTTTTTTTGCTATGTAATGAAAAAGTCCAAAAATTCGGAAAAAAGTTTTATAAAATTTTGCAAATAAATAAGATTTCATTATAAATCTTGGCCAAAATTTATTCCATTATCTTTTTAGTAAAAAAAATAAAAAAATAAATAAAAAAAGATTATATACGCCAAATTAGTTTATAACCAATAATTATAATTTTTAAACTTTTTTTTTTTTATAATATATATATATATATATATATATATATATATATATATTTTTTTTTTTAACATACTGTCTCCCTAGCAGTACCATGGTGACACTGTACTACTTGTGGGGGGTGATGAAGATTTTTTTTTTTAGTGATTGCTTTTACACCCATATAGGATGTAAAAGCAATCATTTCTCTTTCTCTCTGTCTGCATTCTTGCAGCCATTGAGAAATACTGTGTGAGCTGTGATTGGTCAGAGCTTGTCACATGGTACAAGGCTGTTGTGAATAGCCTTGTACCATGTGACCTCTGATCATTCACAGATTTCACACGTAGTAAGCAATGATGTCACAAAGGACATCTTGCTTACTACTTTGCATGTGATCACTGATTGGCCAATCAGTGATCACATGATCGGGACCTCGTACAGAGGTCCCATCCAACGATCGGTGTTTCACTGTGTCCGGAGGGCACAGCGGGCACCGGATCGCGGTGCTGCGCGCTCCCAGGGAGCGCACACAACTAGACATAGCAGGTGCCGTTTATGAACGGCAACCCGCCCCTGGAGTGCCACCGTCCTGCCGTTTTAAAACAGTAGGTGGACGGCAAGGGGTTAAAATTATCGGCCCCAGGTGCCAGATATACTACTGGACCACTCAAGATGTAAAGAGCACCACAATATTTATAAGAAGGCTAAATTCATTATTCTAGACTTCTTATCTCCAGTTTCATCAAAAGATTTATTTGGAGAAATAGACTGCATATATTTAAAGATTTGTTTTTGCTTGTAGCCAACGTTACTCTGTTGAATGAATGCAGTGATGGTAAGTTTATTGCGTCAGAAGCGATAACAGCACAGATCACAAATGTTGCCAGAAAATGGTTCGACAATGCCTGAAGTAATCTAGAAGGGCAATAAGCAAAATGCATAAAGAGCATGAGAATTGTTTAAAACAAGGCTGGCTATACAAGGGGATGTGTGTCCTTTCTGTGGAAGCAGATTTCTCAACTCTATTCTCAGCAAAATCCACAATTTTTGTTTTAAATGTGAAATGACCAGGATGGGTAAATAGGTGAAGGCTGCTTGTTTTCAGACCATCAGTGTAGTGTTGAAAGAACACATTAATAGTTTACTTATTGTAGCAAAGTTGACATGTGGGCATCTAAAAAAGGTTGCCGCTTGTTCCTGGAAGTTTAGCAGATTGCAGTATTGGTCAGAAAAGGACAAATTGTTCGCACCTTAATCCTTCATTGCAAAGTCAGAATTTGTATTCACTCTATCCTCAATTTGCTTTAATGCATGAAGCCTACTTTATCATCTTAAAAAGGATAAAATTACTATACATGATTCAGAAAATATTAGCACAAAACAGAATTCTCCAGAATAAAAAATATTTTACCTGGATAGGAAGAAGGTTGGCAATGCCATTCACCAATTCCCTTTCCATAGCAGTAACACTGGTAACTGACACCATTTACAACTTTCTCCCAGGAATCGCCAATCTGGTAGAATTTTCGGGATTCGGTTTCCTGACACTGATCTGAAATACATTTAGAAGCGATTTAACAGATCGGTAATGGAAAAGCTGTTATACTATAATAAAGTCATTAAAGTAGAACTATAGGCAAAACTTTTTCTTCATTTTGGATAGAGCAGGGGGAGGGTTATTATCCTTGTCAGATTTGTTTTTCTTTGCCATCTGGGTCACATTGCAGAGTATTTCCCTTCACTTCCTGTCCCATAGACAAAGAGGAAATCCATTTGAGACCCCAGGTCACCAAAACTAGTGCTCCCATTGAAAGGTGTCCCCGCTATTACTTTTCTGAGGACAACTCAACAATTCATTTTCAAATGACAATGGTGAACAGGAAGGGTGCATCTACTTAATGGGGGCACAGACAATAAAAACGGACAAGCATTCTAATCCCTTAGCACTCTATCCAAACTACAAAAAAAACCCAAAAAAACAAAAAAGCTATACTTTGACAAGTACACCTGAAAATACGGGCAAAACTGGTAAGCATGTAACCCAACCTCTTAGCTCCCCCCCACCTACAGATTAACCCCTAAAATAAATTCAGTTCTCAGAGATCCCCTGTTAAAATCAAATTCATAGGGGTCTGAGTGAATAACCCTTACATTGGTGTCTATTGGAAAGAATGCCACTCTTATTAGACAGCTAAAGTTAATTGGTGAGATGGTTCTGGCTGTCAAGTGGTGTTGGCCCCATGACTATGCAAGCTCCACCAAATGGGTGGTCAAAATCAACCACAGCTCAAGGAACCACTAGCAAACTCTGGAGGAAACCCAAGTTTCCACAGAATCCTAACAGAATGTCTATGGTTGATTTGCGCCAAAATTAAAACTGCTGCAGAGTGGAGTATAAATGGTGAATTTTTTTGCACCCTGGAGTTCTCCCTCTAGATTTCAAATGCCATCTCACATCTCCATCATACTTAAAATGGTGGCAATTACATTGCCACAAGAGCCCAATTCAGCTGGCAACAGAGACCACACAAGCAGTGTACCTGAAAGGATAGGCAATGTAAACTGTCTTTGCGTCCTTGGGGAGCAGTCCATGCAGCCATTGTGTTTTTACACTTCTCGTAAAATTCTATAAATCTGCACTGGGATGGTCTGTGTGGTTTACCTATCCATCCTGCTACACTGCCCAGAATAGGAATTCTTGTGAGCCTGGAATATTTGTTGAAGTGAAAAACTGATCACAGAGATCTAGTACAATGGTTAGATTGTTCACTAATGTCTAATAATGGATTTCAAAATAAAATATTCTAACTAAGCAGTACAACTGAGTTAACAGACCACATACACATTTGCTAGTGAGATCTGAAGTTGTACCTACGTTAAAAAGCTGCTGTGTTCAGCAAGCCTTTATAAAAATTAACTGAATTATTTGGACAAGCTACAGTATGATAGATTTCAGAAATCCCTGATAAATATTACTGTAAAATGCCAAGCAGTAGGATTTAGCCTTTGAAGTGAAAAAACCTTAAGCCCTGGTTCACACTGATGCAGTGCGGAATTTGCAGCGTTTTCAGTGCAAATTCCACACCGCATCAGAATTGCACCCAGTTCATGTTTGGTGCAGAATGCAGTCAGTCAGTCTTGTTTTAGCAATATTGTGCGGAGCTACTAAAGAGGTTTTATAGCCATGTCTCTTGTGACTAAATTAGTAGATTATACATTTTCTTGACAGGAAGGGGACCAAATTGGATATTTTTCCACTTAATTAAGAATGGTCATTGTTTACCTAGAAACAACCGCCTTCATATGTACATGGCTTCCCTTGTCTTTGTACTGTGCCCTGACAGAAGTCAGCCTATTGAATACTAGCCAAGGAAAACAGATGGAAATTCAGAGTTTATCAACCACTGATTGAATAAACAGATTAGGATGTTGTCCTGTGCTTTGACCTCACCCACCCCACTAGTACAGGACTGCACCACCTACATTATTAATCTCCAGACTGCCTGCTACTATAGAGCATAATACCAGATAAAAAAATATGTTTCACAAATAGAACACATCAAACAATTTGTAAACTGGCATATGGGAACTTCATGTTACTTGACAGATACATGGTTTCACCTTACCAGTCCCCATAGTCTGATAGAAGAGGAAACATAACCAAAAAGGCTTAAAATATTTTTTTCCACTTTCAAAAAAAGGGTAAACCCTTAAGGCTAAGTTACCACTAAGAATTCCTAAGAATCTAACTGGATTTTTTTTTGCAGCTACAAGCTTCTTGGGGGGGGGGGGGGGGGGGGGAAGAAGAAGAATAAGAAGAAGGTTAATGAACTCTAACCACTTTCCTACCGGGCACTTGTACCCCCTTCCTGCCCAGGCCAAATTTTCAGCTTTCAGTGCTGTTGCACTTTGAACAACAATTGCGCAGTCATGCAACACTGCGCCTATATTACGTTTTTTTATAATTTTTTCAAACAAATAGAGCTTTTTGGTGGTATGTATTCGCCGCTGGGTGCTTTATTTTTTGTGCTATAAACAAAAAAGCAAACTATTTTGAGAAAAAAAAAAAAAAAAAAAAACTGTTTCTATTATAAAATTTTGCAAACAGGCAATTTTTCTCCTTCACTGATGTGCATTGATGAGGCTGCACTGATAGGCAACACTGATGAGGTGGTACTGATAGGCGGCACTGATAGGTAACAATGATGGGCACTGATAGGGTGGCACTGATGAGCACAGGCAGGCGGCACTGCTGGGCACTGATCAGTGCCCTTATGATCAGTGCCGATCCCTCCTCTGACAATTGCCGGTTAGGAAAGTGCAGCCAATAACCTGCAACTTCATTTACAGGTGATCTGTTGTGTCATTGGACACGGCTGATCACATGGTACAAGGCCGCTGTGATTGGCCTTTTACCACATCATGTGATCAGTAATTATGGAGATCGCCATGGGTTCGTTCTGGGAGGACGTCATATGACGTCCTCCCAGAACTGGCCGGCCGCAGTGTAGCCGTCATTCGGCCATCTGTGGTCGGCAAGTGGTTAAAGTCACAAGAATGAAAATCAACAAATCTGTAGGGGTCAAAAAGGGAAATCCTGGATTAAATGGGGAAAAAGGCACATGACAAAAAAGGACCAGTTGATTTGGACATGGTCATGTGGCCCCCACAGCTAGGCAAAGTAGACCGCTGCCTAGGGTGTAGCCACAGCCGCTGTAGAAAGACAGTCTGCACAGTAAATGTAAGCCGACATGCTCTCACCTCACCGCCACATAAAGTTTGAAGGTGCAAGTAGCTGGTCTTGCCTAGGATGCAAAACAGTCTAGCACTGACCCTGCATACCAGCAAATGTTACCTCTGTATTACATTTTCATGGTGCTCTCTTCACCATTGTACTGTAGAACTCAGCAACATTGTAAACTAACTACAATTACAAAGCACACAAGGAACATATAACAATGTGCCAAGATGGTGATATGTAAAATACATTTCACTGCATCTGGCTGCCTGATGTACAATGTGGCTTGACGCATTGCTTTTTAAACAAGCTGTAACAGTGAGCTATAAATGCATAGTATACTAGTACTACTGTGCCTAAAAACAGAATATAAACCTAAGCAGAAACACGGCTGTTAAATGTAGCTGCCCAATTTCAATACCAGACTCTACAGTGCCCATAAACTGGTCATGGCTTGCGTACCCACTGCATCGCACTTCCATCTACCACGTCCCTGACCAAAGCAGCTGCAGTTCATCAAGTGCCCCTCCTCGTGATATTTGCTGAAAGATTGATTTACATCATAGGTAACGCCATCCACGATGCACTGATCTGTTACAGAAGGGAACATATGAAACATCAACATTAGATTTTGCAAGTATTTGAAAAGCAATTTACAGTTTTATAAAACACATCCTTTAAGAATTCTGCTTGGGACATGGAAATTTAGGGGAGGGAAGGGTCAGCATGCAGAATTTCTTTACCTTATACAAAGATATCCTAGCAAAATTATAGAGGTCATTTGAAATTGCTTTGCATCAGACTTAAGCTGTTAAGTACATATACAGAGATGCATGCCAACCCTCTTTTTCTTGACATGAAAAAGTGCAAATTGGCAGCATGGAGGTGTTTATACAAAACGCTATCAAAGCAAAACCTAAAATGTTCTTGCCAAACATCCGAGTTATTTGATGCTGGAGAACCTAGCCCTTCACAGCACCATTTACAAAATGCACAATTTGGCAAATGCAAAAAGAAACCTCTGTGTTGCTACACAAAATAAAATGAACAAAATGCTAATCTAAAAATGCAGTTTGTTATATTTGGAAAGATTTGAAGATTATCCACCCATTCCCACAATGCTAGCATCACAGTGCAGAAACAAACAAAAAAACAGAAAAAAAAGGGATCCATTCCTATTGACTGAACTGCAGAAACATCAAATCTGTCTGCTGACTGATCACCTTAATCCAGCGGTGACTGTAAAAATCACGCTTGTGTAATTTATGTATATGGCTGTCTTACACAGCATATATGGGAAGTCATACCAACGGATTCAATGGTATTCTCAGTGAATGCTAAAATAGGAAAGATAAAAAGAAATTATCCTTGGATAAATAGGATAACTCATTTTTCAATGAGAACCTTAAAGTGTCACTAAACCCACAACAGTAAAATCAGTCTGTATATTATACAGGATTTATATAGCGCCAACAGTTTGCTCAGCGCTTTACAATATAATGGGAGACAATACAGTTCAATACAAGAGGGATAGGACGGCCCTGCTCCTCGGAGCTTACAATCTAGGAGATGCAGTAAAGCATGCTCGCTATACTCACTGTGGAACCTAAGGGGTTATTCCTCTACATTGTGTAAAAAGGCTGTTTGATCCTTTCTTCTCTGCCCCTTCTCTTGTTGAAATGACCACCTAATGCAGACTGAATCCATAGTCACATGCACATGCTCAGTTTAGCATGTATTGCTAGAGGTTTTTTTTTTCTTGGGAGAGTGCATGTGATCAGCTCAGGGTCAATCAGCACTGTCCAGACAGAGGTTGGGGGTTTCACATCCTCCTAGAGTAAAATGAAAACTCCTACAAGCTTTAACCAGTGCTCTGCTGAAGTCACAAGACTGCTCTAACTGCTGATGAGAAAAGGTATTTAGCAGTTTATAATTTACTAAAATAAAATAATTGCATTTCCATGTTTGTACTGTGGGAGACCAGATATAGTGAATGCAGGGTCCTGGGTTTAGGACCACTTTAAGGAGAACCCTTTGCTCAGAGCAACAGGTGAGCTGGCATTTTTTTGCCATCACTTTCTGAAACATTTTGCCATTTGGCTGCCAAGCTGATCTAATAGCTTTAAACAATATTTAAACCCAAGAGTAGATTGCAGTTTACCAGGGCTTCTATGTAGTGGATGCATTGGTTTTCATTTTTAGGTCAATGCCATTTGAGCAAGTACAGAAAACCTATTAAGCTTGCCAGAAATGCAGTATTTTGTCACTGACCGCAAGTTAAACATTCTTATCTGTAAACTGCTAATCCCCTCTCTTGTGTAATAAATATGAAGGGAAGAACTATATGTATTCCAAATCAGGAGAGCAGCCTGGGCGACAAACCATACCAGTGGAGAAGTGAGTGTAACCACAATAAGGACATGAATAGTGTCATTTACCAGGTCAAAATAAAAAAGTAAAAAAAATAAAATAAAACAAATTGTGCAGTCATCACTTCCAAGAACTGGTAAGATGCAATGCACATATTACATTTTGTTTCTTAGATTTAGATGCACTTTTTATATTGTAAGTCACATTCTTGATCAAGGTAGCAGAGCTGAAAGTGATACCTTTTCTCATCAGCAGTTAGAGCAGTCATATGACCATCGGTGTCCAGCCGAGCACTGGTTAAAGCTTGTAGGAGGAGTTTTCATTTTACTCTAGGAAGATGTAGAACCCCTGACCTCTGGACAGTGCCAAATGGCCCTGTGCTGATCACATGCCCTCTCCCAAGAAAAAAAAAAAACCCTCTCTAGCAATACACACCAAACTGAGCATATGCAGAGTGACTCCACATGATATGTCTTATCAGGAGATAAGAGGAGGACACTGGAAGAAGGGGAGGATAAGAGAAGTCAGGATCAAACAGCGTTTTTACACAATGCAGAGGATTAACCTCTTAGGTTCCACAGCGAGTAGAGTATTAGTGTGGGTTTAGCAACACTAAGCTAGTAATATCCATGCAAACTAGCATTATTTAAAATGAAGTTAATGGTAAGCTGCAAATTTACGACCAGACTTCCTTTAACCCCTTGGTGACTGAGGTGAGCACAAAGGTTATGTCGGAACGCAAATTTGACATGTGTTAAAACACTACATATCAATGCAACTGTGTACATCCAGATGGATTATACAATGTTCCCTCCCCAAAGACAAAATTGGGACTTTTTGGTGGTAAATGGTAATGGGTATCTCCTGATTTTTTTATTATCAAAAAAGGAAAACATGACTACAATAGTAAAGAATAAAAAACCACCACAGAACCCAAAATATTCTCCTGCTCCTGACGATTGCAGTGATACCAAAATTTATGAACGTTCGTTGTGGTTTCTACCTGTAGTACAGCCCAGAAACAATTACTGCACATTTTGCTTTTAATCCTACCTAAAAAACATACTGACACCAAACACTAAGATACCAATTTAAAAATGTGAAACGCAACACAAAGATACACATATATGTGGCCCCACGGATAAAGACTCACTTCGAGAGGCCACAAGTATGTGTACAGTCAGCTGGAAGAAGTTAAAATCCAACTGTACTTTCAGTCTAAAATTGGCTAACAAAAAAAAAAAAAAACATTTTACATTCATCAAAACAAAAAATTTACAAGAGTTAAAAAGTCTGCTCACTGCACACATACTGCAGAGAAGGACTCTTGTATCAAAGCAGTGGTCTTGACCGAAGAATGGCTTACCCCCACAGAGTTTGATCCTCTGCAGAGAGGACCACTGTGTCCACAGAGAACAAGGGGGTTTCTCTGCAGCATCCTTGCAAGGGACAGATTTTTCTGCTTGGGATGTAGCTGGTTTCCTAAAGCTGAACTATATTAACAGTTTTTCAAAAACAGTTACTGTCAAGGCATGCTGTGAATTATAATTGTCCTAGTTGTTTGGCTGGTGTCATAACTGATCACATATGCTGTACCATGGTAACTGCAGACCAAACAGATGCTAAAGATGGCAGCTTCCTTGGCTTTAAAAGGATTGGAGGGTTTAGTCCCCCCTTTAAGAGGATGAACTGTAAGACTTTGAACACCTTTTGTTTTGCAGTACCTTGAATTTAGTTAGCGGATTTAAACAAAGTTCATTGGGGCTATAAGAATGCGCATTTTCAAAAGAGAGCTCACAAAAGAAATGTCTTTAAAAAATGTAAATTGAGTTAGCAATCACCCTCTACCCCCTCATCATGGCAAAACAAACTCAATTCAGATCCTCACTGTACACATTCTAGATTTACCTTTAAGCTGGGAATAGGCAATACAGTTCCATTCGCCACGGCCATTGCCAACGCAAGTACACCTCATCATATGACCTTGATCATGCATTTTGTCCCACTGATCACCAACACGGTACATAACCCCATCATTGGTTGTGCAGATTTCTTCATGAGCTAGGATTAAAAGAGAAACCACTATGAACTAAAAACGTATATATGAAAATTCAGATAGGGATATATGCTCCTAGGATAGTCACATGTGCTAAAAACAGGAAAGGAAATAAAGTACCATTTACGAGGTTTAGTTGTACACACACACTTATTACACTGTAGTCAGTATACAGAAGATACAATATTTATTTAATTTAGCCCATATCTAATCAATTTTCAAATTATCTTCTCTAGATCTCTGCAACATTTAGTAAAACAGCTAACAGGAAGAAGAGAACTGATGACTGAAAAAAAAAAAAAAAACAAAAAAAAAAAAAAAAAAAAAAAAAAAAAAAAAAAAAAAAAAAAAAAAAAAAGGGGTGGGGGGTAAAATTAAAAGAACTGAATTCCTATTAAGAGTAGAAGGATATCCAGGATATATAGCAATAAAAACTAAATACAAACAGGCTATTTTCAAACCTACAACCATTTTATTTTCTGCTTTTATAGGATTCCTACCTGCCATGGGGCAGAAGCCAAATTTCTGGTCCACATCATAGTTCAAGGTAGTGCCGCACCACTTCATATTGTCAAGGCGGCCCTCTGATGTGCAGTCTGTGTAGTTACGATTGTTGTACAAGAATGGGAAGTGGCAGAGAGCTCCATTGGAATTACCACCCCGTGTTTGAACCAGTGCTTCAAAAGACAAAAAAAAGAAAAAGAAAAAAAGGCAACGTTAAGGTGAACTTTGCTTTAAAAATTATCAAAAAGTTAATTCTTAGTCTTTCTGCAAATAGTTTGTACATTGCAGTTGTGTACCAAATTATAAGGCTGATAAAACAGTTATATTTGGAAATCTATATTACTGGGGGGAAGGGGTTAATCTAAATTTTTGCATGGGCCTATAATGCATCCAAGATAAGCAGCAAAGTGAAGAATGCCGAGGATTAAACTTCTAGTGCTTATAAGCAGTTTGCAGAGAAACCTACCCCGCTGCTCTGTACAGAAAGAATACTTCTTGTCCTCATCATAGTTGGATGAGGTTGAGCACCACAGCTTTCCATCTTGGCGACCTTCTGTTGTGCAGTAGTAGTATGTTTTGCCATCATGGATGAAAGGGAAGACACATGGGTCACTATTGGAATTGCCTCCATAGGTCCCGACTGCAACTGTTTGAATATAAAAACAATTGCTTGGAGAGTGCAAAAAAATTTGAGGGAATATTCTTAGCAAAAAAAAAAAAAAAAAACACCCCACACACAAAAAAGACCCACCACAGACCAGCTGGACTTACCACTTTCTTCACAGCTGACACCATTGCCGAGACAGGTACACAGCATCTGCTGAGTTCCCTGAGTTTTTAACCATTTCATGCCCACAGTATAGAGCACTCCACTGTCAGCCACACAATGCTCAATATCTCGCACAGCCGGGTAGATATTTATGTGGGCACCAGTGCCAACACCAACTCCTACATTAAGGAAAGAGGAAAAGCAAAAAAAAAAAAAAAAACATACAGATTAAGGCCAGGGCCATACTAAAAGAACAACTCTGAGCAATAAGTACAATTAGTCTGAAACCTGCTGACAGCATCCAGAATGAATTGCAACAGGCAAAAATTCCACAGTTGTCCCTCTTTTCCTGTTGGCAATGCCTTCAACAGCAGCACCAGGGTGTACATTGCTACTAGTCATGGACAATGGGAATCACCGCCTTGCAAGCAGTAGAGGGAACCAGCTAAGAAGCCCAGGGATGCCCAAGGAGTGTTGCACAATCTGGGAGGATAAAGGGGGAGAGTATAGGGCACTTGGATGTGAACCTACTGGCATGATGCATCCATGACATCTAAACTGAGCAAAGCTTGTTGTGGGTGGGAGAGGGAATACCAGATGTGCTTCACACATGTGAGATGAGGAAAGTTAGATTTTACCATTTACCCAAATAAGTTATTGCCTGAATTAGAAATATATTTGAATTTATGCAATTTCTAGGAGATGCCCCACTTTCCAATCATGTTTAGACAAATAGATTTAGCCGTAACCTGTATATAAAAAAATAAAAAAAATAATAAAAACACAAACACACACAGCTAGTTTCACTTTAGAACACACAATTGCTTGTACCTCTAAAACAACTTTAATAACCTGTAAGAATGTGTGTTGCAATACAAAATCTAGTTCAAACATTAGAATAGTTTAAAAAAACATAAAACACATGAAAAACACTAAAAAGAGTGAAGCAGCAGACCGAACCTGTCAGAACTCACCTGTAGCAGATGAATGCCTCTCACACTTCCACTCGCCACGCCCATTGCCTGTGCAGATGCACTGCAGCAAGTTACCCCTGGTATCAGTCTTGCTCCAGTTATCTCCAATCCGGTAGGATGTCCTTGTGTCCTGGTCATTACAGCGGTCTGTAATGTAAAAGTTTTTGAAAAAAAAAAAAAATAAATTTAATATATCTACAATCTGTCCTATAAAAACAGACAAGTTTAAATTTTAGGGAGCTTGCTGCAAAAAGTTGACCAGTGCATGCAGTTGAAAAGGGAATATATATATATATATATATATATATATATATATATATATATATATATATATATATATATATTATACATACACACGGTGAATCAATTGCTGTAATTTAAAAAACACATGCATAAGGAAGAGTCACCTGCAGTGAATATATTTTAAACGGCATAATATATATATATATATATATATATATATATTTTTTTTTTTTTTTTAAGCCGAAAAAAAAGAGTTCTTGCCAAAAGCCTTTAATACATTGACAGTTAAGTTTAAACTTGTGGCCCCAAGAACAGCATCAGAGACAAAAGCAGCTCTAGCATCTTTTCTTGCTTATACTAGGGACAATATGTTTTCACTATACAGTTTAGAATTAGGATACATTTTACTAAAAAACTGTTGTTAAGTATGACATTATTTCTTAATGGGCATTCTGTAAACTCTAAAGGCAGTCAAATATTTGTAACAAAGCCAAGATGTTTCTTTCATCTACTACTCTGGGGGGAATTTAGAACAAGTAATAAGGAAGACAGCTCCCCAATGACCATATATACAGAAGCAGCAGACAGAAACCTATGTGCCTGTACTAGAAAGAAGGTCATTTACATTCCAATGAAACAATCTGAAATGTAAATGGTTTCCAAATGGTAGAAGACTCAAAATAAAATGTAATTTCATCACATTACAGTTGAGAATATATGCAGTCATGTTACCCTACAAACACGTTCAGGAGTCCATGTAACAATTCAGCAATGCAATGACTACAATAACGATTTTAAAAGAGTGCTATCCAAAGGGCCTTGAATTACCTGTAAACTGATTTCTAATTAGCTAGCATGTGTGTCCCTCAGTCTATTAAGCAAATCCTGGATTTAGGAGAGTCATTTTCCAAGTTTAAAATTATTTCTACCCTCTGCTGAAACATTCACAATCTTTTTTAGAACTCTTACGACTGCTATAAATCAGCTGGTTATGGACTGTTTAGTTAGAGGGCAATGACTAGTGCTTCCAATGACTGCCAATCCTTCCCTTTAAACGGAGAGGGAAATCAGATGGTACCTACAGTGGGGATCGAAAGTTTGGGCACCCCAGCTAAAAATTTGTATTATGTGCATAAAGAAGCCAAGGAAAGATGGAAAAATCTCCAAAAGGCATCAAATTACAGATTAGACATTCTTATAATATGTCAACAAAAGTTAGATTTTATTTCCATCATTTACACTTTCAAAATAACAGAAAACAAAAAAATGGCGTCTGCAAAAGTTTGGGCACCCTGCAGAATTTATAGCATGCACTGCCCCCTTTGCCAAGCTGAGACCTGCCAGTGTCATGGATTGTTCTCAATCATCGTCTGGGAAGACCAGGTGATGTCAATCTCAAAGGTTTTAAATGCCCAGACTCATCTGACCTTGCCCCAACAATCAGCACCATGGGTTCTTCTAAGCAGTTGTCTAGAAAACTGAAACTGAAAATAGTTGACGCTCACAAAGCTGGAGAAGGCTATAAGAAGATAGCAAAGCGTTTTCAGATGTCAATATCCTCTGTTCGGAATGTAACTAAGAAATGGCAGTCATCAGGAACAGTGGAAGTTAAAGCAAGATCTGGAAGACCAAGAAAAATATCAGACAGAACAGCTCGCAGGATTGTGAGAAAAACGATTCAAAACCCACGTTTGACTGCACGATCCCTCCAGAAAGATCTGGCAGACACTGGAGTTGTGGTACACTATTCCACTATAAAGAGATACTTGTACAAATATGGTCTTCATGGAAGAGTCATCAGAAGAAAACCTCTTCTACGTTCTCACCACAAAAATCATCGTTTGAACTTTGCAAATGAACATATAGACAAGCCTGATGCATTTTGGAAACAAGTTCTGTGGACCGATGAGGTTAAAATTGAACTTTTTGGCCGGAATGAGCAAAGGTACGTTTGGAGAAGAAGGGGCACAGAATTTAATGAAAAGAACCTCTGTCCAACTGTTAAGCATGGCGTTGGATCAATCATGCTTTGGGGTTGTGTTGCAGCCAGTGGCACAGAGAACATCTCACGAGTAGAAGGAAAAATGGGTTCAATAAAATTTCAGCAAATTTTGGATGGTAACTTGATGCCATCTGTGAAAAAGCTGAAGTTAAAGAGAGGATGGCTTCTACAAATGGATAATGATCCTAAACACACCTCGAAATCCACAGGGGATTACATCAAGAGGCGTAAACTGAAGGTTTTTTGCCATGGCCTTCACAATCTCCTGACCTCAACATAATTGAAAATCTATGGATAGACCTTAAAAGAGCAGTGTGTGACAGACAGCCCAGAAATCTCAAAGAACTGGAAGACTTTTGTAAGGAAGAATGGGCAAAGATACCTCAAACAAGAATTGAAAGACTCTTGGCTGGCTACAAAAAGCGTTTACAAGCTGTGATACTTGCCAAAGGGGGCAGTACAAGATATTAACTCTGCAGGGTGCCCAAACTTTTGCAGACACCATTTTTTTGTTTTCTGTTATTTTGAAAGTGTAAATGATGGAAATAAAATCTAACTTTTGTTGATATATTATAAGAATGTCTAATCTGTAATTTGATGCCTTTTGGAGATTTTTCCATCTTTCCTTGGCTTCTTTATGCACATTAATACAAATTTTTAGCTGGGGTGCCCAAACTTTTGATCCCCACTGTACACATGTGCCATATCTATGCATTGGTCAAGTCATACAAGAAACTAACAGCATCTACCAATTAAGATACGAGATGTCTTGACAGAATTCTGGGGGGCACTTCTGTCCATCTAAAGCCAACCTTCAAAACCACCAATATATCTCCCCCATTTACCTTCAATGCATAAAATGACAACATTTTCCACTTAATGCCAGAGGTTTTAGAGGATTCATTTTTTTTTTAGTAGTTTGTTTCGTAGCCCCATGCCTGGGCAAGTATACAAGTTCAAATGAGCCATTAATGTGCATTTTTTCTTTTTGCTCATAATAAAGTTTACATCAGGAGCCTGATTTCCAGCAATACTGCACAGTTTCAATTACTGAAACTAGTCTCAACTCTATTTCATCTCACAATGGTAATTTTATCACCTACACAGGATTTTCAAGTTTAAAAAGCTGCACAGTGATCCAAGTGAACTGAATTTTTAATAAAAAAAAAATACTGTATTTTTAGCAGATCCAAAACTTTACAGAATTAGAATTATAAACATATACAAATAGCAAATTATGCATTGTAGCCGAAAAAAAAAAAAAAAAAAAAAAAAAAAAAAAAAAAAAAAAACTGTCCCTCTGCATAATGCAATATTTTATTACAGGTACTTATATAGCGCCATCAATTTACGCAGCGTTTTACATACATACACATAGGGGTGTACAATCTAAGGTCCCCAACTTTACACATACTAGGGCCAGTTTAGACAGGATCCAATTAACCTGCCAGCATGTCTTTGGAGTGTGGGAGGAAACCAAAGTACCCAGAGGAAACCCACGCAGGCACAGGGAGAACACGCAAACTCCAGGCAGGAGATGCCATGGTTGGGATTCGAACCAATGACCCTAGTACTAGTAGTAGTAGTAGTTGTAGTAGCGCTATCCACCTCGTGTACTCATACTGTTGAGTAAAAACCTTCTGAACCAAATCTGGTTCCTATAGAAAAAATCATAGCAAACCACAACAAGATAAAGGATTGAAAGAGTAAAATAATCATCAAAATACATTTACTGTAAGCAGCACTTACTTCTCGATGTACATGTGATACGTCCACTGCCTTCTCCCAAACATGTACAATCCACCATCATCCATCCCTGGTAAGGCTTTTCCCAGGTTTGTCCAACAATGTAGGATGTGCCAGCTGTGTTATCATAACATCTTTCCGCTATGAGAAAGAAAGTGATAACCTCCATGAACCTTCCATAAATTATATCTCTGGAGTGCATATACATTTCTATAAAAGTACAAAAATTGTCCAATCTGACATCAGTCTAAAGGTCAGTACGTGAATAAAGAAAAAACCCTTAAAAGAATAAGGCAGTAAAGGTGCCAATATTTAAGTGTAATACATCATAGCAACCAATCAGAATATAACTTGCTCAGTTTGTGCTAATCTAACTTCAGATTAAACAGCGATTGACTACTACAGTTGTGGCCAAAATTATTCAACCCCCACTGAAATTGAGTGTTTTGGCCAGTTTGACATTGCTTTTGATCATTCAGTCATCTTGCTTACATTTACATTAGAGAGCACTTGTAGGTCAGACAAATATAACATAACAGTTATAATGAAATAACCACAATTGTCTTTTCTGTGCTCACAGCATTATCAGTTTTATTCAACCCCCAAGTGACATTCAATCTTAGTACTTAGTACAGCATCCTTTTACAGTTATAACAGCTTTTAAACGTGAAGCATAGCTTGACACAAGTGTCTTGCAGCGATCTACGGGTATCTTCGCCCATTCTTCATGGGCAAAGGCCTCCAGTTCAGTCACATTCTTAGGCTTGCGCACTGCAACTGCTTTCTTTAAGTCCCACCAGAGGTTCTCAATCGGATTTAAGTCTGGTGACTGCGATGGCCACTCCAAAATGTTCCAGCCTTTCCTCTGCAACCATGCTCTAGTGGACTTGGAGGTATGCTTGGGATCATTGTCCTGTTGAAAGGTCCAACGTCTCCCAAGCCTCAGGTGTGTGACGGACTGCATCACGTTTCCATCCAATATCTCCTGGTACTGAAGAGAATTCATGGTACCTTGCACACGCTGAAGCTTCCCTGTACCTGCAGAAGCAAAACAGCCCCAAAGCATGATTGACCCTCCACCATGCTTCACAGTAGGCAAGGTGTTCTTTTCATCATAGGCCTTGTTCTTCCTCCTCCAAACATAGCGTTGATCCATGGGCCCAAACAGTTCTAATTTTGTTTCAGCAGTCCACAGAACACTATCCCACAACTTTTGTGGTTTGTCCACATGGCTTTTGGCATACTGCAGTCGACTCTTCTTATTCTTTGGAGACAGCAAGGGGGTACGCCTGGGAGTTCTGGCACGGAGGCCTTCATTACGCAGTGTGCGTCTTATTGTCTGGGCTGAAACTTCTGTACCCACATCTGACAAATCTTTTCTCAGTTCCTCAGCAGTCACACGGGGACTTCTCTCCACTCTACGCTTCAGGTAGCGCACAGCAGTCGAAGTCAGCATCTTCTTTCTGCCACGACCAGGTAGCGTTTCAACAGTGCCCTTTGCCTTGAATTTGCGAATGATGCTTCCTAAGGTGTCTCTTGGTATGTTTAACATCTTTGCAATCTTCTTATAGCCATTGCCCTTCCTGTGAAGAGAAATCACCTCTTCTCTTGTCTTCCTGGACCATTCTCTTGCCTTCACCATGTTTGTAACCACACCAGTAAATGTCTAGAAGGAGCTGAGTATCACAGTCATTTTAAAGCTGCCTAATTGGTGCTTATTATGCTTGATTGCTGCTCGGTGACATCCACAGGTGTTTCAATACCTGATGGAAAGCACCTGTATGAACCTCTGTTCTTCAGAGTGGTAGTCTTTAAGGGGTTGAATAATTGTGGCAATGAAGAAACCACATAAGAACCATTTACTACTGTATTACATAAACAATTGATGTCATTTTAGTTGCATTTGGGTAGTTACAACGTCCTTGTAGGATTTGATTCTGAATACAATTCCAAATGTACACTATAGTCCCTAAACCCCTTTACAGCATTGGGGGTTGAATAATTTTGGCCACAACTGTATGGGTTAATTAATGTATTTAGGAGCTAGAACCTAACTGAACAAACCTGATAAACTTACTCTGCAAAAACAGGTTGCAAATCAGATAATGCTAGCTAAAACTCATAACCTTTACTTTGGGAAAACTTACCTACAGGCTTGCAGGTCCATTCTCCTTTGCTGTTACCAAGGCATACACACACTCCAACATATAACCACCAGTTTCATGGGGCCTACGCCAAGTGTCTCCAATCTTATAAGATTGTCCACCTTCATGGCAGCGATCTGTAGTGGGAAAAAAAAAATTAAAAAAGGGGAAGAGCAGAAAGATAACCTAGTAGGATTTAAAAACTTTACCCTACAGAAGGCAACATCTGGTTTTACACCTTCAACTGGCTCATTAACACCTGTGTGTCCTTGTTTACACAATAGGACCCAATTTGCATGTGATGCTGGAATGTCATGACATGTGTATACATGTAATGAGGGGAACAGCAGCAAATGGCTTACATTACAACAGACAAAAAATACAAAATGTTCTATATAATAAAATAACACACCAAAAACACACACAAATATCAACTTCATTAGCCATTACTTGCAATGGTGCAGCTGATGCGTCCTCTGCCAGCTCCAATGCAGGTACAATCCCAGATCATGCTATCTTTAGGTCGCTCTCATAAGTTTCCCCAACTCGGTATGTGGTGCCTGTGTACTTGTCAAAACAGGTTTCTTCAGCTGTTCAAGGGTTTAAAAGTATATAGTTTATTGGATGAGCATCTCATTATGCAGGCAGTAAAAGTGGAAAGAATAGTTCCGGTTTTAGGTCACTGCTTCCTAAAGGATGGGTCAACTCTAAAGAAATATAGATGTGTGTGTATATATATATATATATATATATATATACTGCCCATGGGCTAGTGCATCTCTGGATGATATTAACTGGAGAGTACCGTACATACAGTAAGTGATGAAGGGCACAGCCAGACAAGCTCACAATTGTAACACTTACTAGAACAAATAGCATCAGGAAAAGAGCACACTGCTAGAGTGCAGAAACCATTTTCTTGTTTTGGTGCTCTTTTGAAGTAAAGCAATCACCACAATTTTGGCATTTGGTTTTAGAGGAGTAAGCACTCAGGTTTTTGGTAATATTTAAGAGTTTGTGTCTTCTGGAGGTACCATTTCAGGAATGGTATAATATACCAAGCTTTACAAAACAGACAGACACCAACATGCATTTAATAATCAACAGAACATATTTACACTCCAATAGTCCCTATAGGGCTTTTATTCTCCAACCCAGTATTATTAATGGTGCCACAATTTTGTAGCTTTTTTGTCTAATACCAAATAGTAGTCAGCATTAAAACTGAACATCGTTTCATAAAAGAGATAAGAATATTTAATCAGCATATTTTTTAAGCTTATTCATGTTAATAGAATAAAAGTCCCTATTATAGAAGGCATTATCCTTGGTTTTAATATGAAAGTACTACATGCATACCCACCCTCTGGTTTACTTTCACAGTTGAAGCCTCTGATTCCACCATAGCAGGTACAGACCAGTGTATTGCCCAAATAAATCCTTTCCCATTGCTGCCCAATATTATAGGTTTTCCCATTGTCAAAGCAGCCTCCTGTAGAGATCAAATGGTATTCAGTTACTTTAATATCCACAGAATGTTTATTCTAGCATTTCTTTAAAGCAAGCCAAACACTGCATAACTTAATGACCAGAACGCACACAAATTAGGTCATACACACCTCTTCAGGGTGACCATTAGAATTTATCTGTACTCATTCAGACAGATTCCCTTGATTTCTAATTTGTGTTAAAGAAATCAGAGCTGGAACCGCGTATGGAAAAAGGTCACTAAAATATATACAAGATAGGTTTCCAGAATTGGTAGGTAGGCCATGTTAGCAACAGTAGAATAGTGTATATGGGCTCACATACCATAAAACAGATTACCGTCTCACGGCCAATATATAATTAGCAATATATGAGCAGATATTGCCAACATTGGTTATCCCTTTTTTTAGCTTCAGTTTTTTACAAATCTCTAACCTAGAACAAGAATACAGTAAGGAAACAGGCCAGAACTCCTAATCTGCATATTTGTTTGGCTACAATACTTTGGCTCATTGAACCAAGAGTGTCATCAGTGGAAGCCTTCCTAATTCTATGTACACACAGTTTCCCTAGAACAGTTAAAAGTTTGCAAGAACCATAGCAACCAGTTTCCAATCCTTTATAGCACAAGTGTCAAACTGGCGGCCCTCCAGCTGTTGCCAAACTACAAGTCCCATGAGGCATTGCAAGACTGACAGTTACAAGCATGACTCCCAAAGGAAGAGGCATGATGGGACTTGTAGTTTCGCAACAGCTGGAGGGCCGCCAGTTTGACACCCCTGTTTAGAGTGGAAGCTCCATGAGCAGCACCCTCCTATTCCTTCTGAAATCTTAGTCTCCTTTAATATGGTAAAGCACTGTACAAAATAATAATCATATTAGGTTTAGGGCTGTAAGAACAATGAAACATGATTGTGGACTTATGGATTACTTCGCTTTTTACATAATTTTTTCTAAATGAAGCCCAAACTGGGCTTGTTATTTTAAAGATCAGTTTGCAGTAAACTGCATTACCCAAGATTCACCTTTGTGGCAAATAAAAATATTTAAAGTTACCCAACATTACTTGTATATCTCTGATAGCTATGGGCTAGTACACAGATTGTTCTTTATACAGCTATACGGAATAAAAAACAGATTTAGTAAGGGGGTCTCAGACCATAGAGAACAGCTGAACATGCACGCATAATCCAAACTACCAGGTGAGGCCAATGGCCAGATTTGGTGTATAAACATACATGCCAGGACATAAACATAAGCGTTAATGTCCATGCAGAAGAAATGGCCCTGCCTTTCACAAGGGAAGAAGTGACAAGTGTTTCAATTCATACTTCTATCAAGATAGGTCAGTTTGGAGCCTCTGTTGGGTCTACAGACATAAAACTGCCTAACTATCTTACTGAAATTTAAAGTCGTAAAGGACAGACTCTATAGAAGGGAATAAAAGGTAAAAATATGTAACATTTAATTTGTGGTCTATTATGAAAAGAATATTACCTGACCTCTGAATACCTAAATACAGAGATCAAACTAGTAGACCTGTTCCTTGGGCCCCACAATGAAGGGATTTCTTGTTAACTGTGCTAGAATGAATCTCTTAAAATGCACGCATTTCATTCTGGCAGGCCTTACCTTAGCTCAGGATAACACATCTGCATTATATTACCAGTCTAAGCCTCTCAATAGTTGTAACAGCAATGACTCCATATGGTCAAGTAGCCACAAATCATTCTCATGAATTAAACACTGGTTTTATCAGAACAAAATGATATCATAGCCTTGTAAAAAACATTAACTTATACCATATACCCGATATTGGAACAATCAAGCAACATTATGACTTAAATAAAAGATGAACTGCAATATACATTTATTGCCAAACATCTCCAAATGTCAGCTGCAAAGTCACAATAAAAAAGCCATGGCAAAAATGATCACAAAGATCTCAAAGCTTCTGGATGCTTTCTACATTACAAAGGTTTTTAAAAGCATCATGTATGGGTTTCCCAGTAAACATGGGATAAAATGGGAAGAAAGGACAAATGCCTGCACCCAGTTGTAATGTCAACGAAGAGCCAAATCTAAAAGGCTGGGGAGTCAGTCAGAGCAGAAGCTTCCTTAGTGCATTGAATTATTCTAAAGAACGCATACAGAACTCCTGGACTGATATTAATGGGCTAGGTTAACAAATTAAAAAGAAATGAATGGCTGGCGCTCATCACACGGAAAATAAAAATCAAAAGCATTGACAAACTGAAATAAAATAACAAAACCAAAAGCAGAAAAACTGCTCGAGAGTTGCTGTGTAGCAGCTGGCTGGAAACAAAGTATCTGTTGATATATACAAAATAAATAAGATAATTTATACAAAATGACAGCCTGTAAAAGGATTAATTTGGAGACTGAGCAACTTCTAATTAGTGAAAAGCTGACTACAGGTTAAGCGATGTGGCCACCTCCATCAGACTGGGAACCCCAAAGCTGTGAACAGAAAGAGAAAGAGGGGCACCATGCGCTGAGCAAAATCCTCTCTTGTATTAAAAAGGTATAGACTCCAGAGAGAGAAATATCATTCTACCCCTGTACAAATCATTAGTAATAACTCATCTGGAATATGCAGTTCACTTTTGGGCACCAATTCACAAAAAGAACATTGGGGAACTGGAGAAAGTGAGGGAAACAAAAAGGGAAAACAATGACAGAGGCACAAGATGCCTAAGTCAAGCAGGTCCAAAAGAGGTCAAACTGCTGCTTGTAATAAGAAAAATGTATAAATCTTTAATTGCAGTAAAAACACGAATCAATACACATGGTAAAACAAAAACAATGATGAAAGGAGAGAGCCTCACCACTACCAAAGAAAAAAATAGAAGAGAATGCGATGGTTGTCCGGGGTGACGCCATGCATGCTATAGTCCCAGCAAAAAAGGGTTATTGAAAACACAGATAAAATGGGTGTAAGATGTGAGAATAGGAGGAATAGTGCCAGAGAAAACTATAGAATAGAAATCTAGGTCATAAAGTAAATTTAAAAAATATAGTCCACTTATTTTTTTAAACAGTTATCTAGATATCACATGAAAAGTTGATGGATAGTAAGCATGATAATGATAAAGCATATGACCAAAAAATAGTATAGAAACAAAATGTAACACGGAAAGGTTTCTTCACAGTGAGAGCTGTGAAAATGTGGAATAGACTCCCTCAAGAGTTGGTTCTGGCCAGCTCAGTGGATTGCTTTTAAAAAGGCCTGGATTCTTTCATAATATAACTGGATACTAACATTTATAGGTAAAGTTGACCCAGGGAATATCCGATTGCCTCTCAGGGGATCAGGAAGGAACTTTTTTTTCCCTGCAGGAGTAAATTAGATCATGCTTTTTCTGGGTTTGTTTTGCCTTCCTCTGGATCAACTGTGGATATAGTTTTTTTTTTAAATGGTTGAATTGGATGGACTTGTCTTTTTCAGACAGACGAACTGTGTAACTATGCAATTATGCTGACCATAGTGTAGTAAGTTTATTGCAGAGATAAAAAAAAAAAAAATGGAAGCAATTGACTAGAGCAGACTGCAAAAAAGATCTGTATCCGATCTTTTTTGCAGTCTGCTCTAGTCAACTGCTTCCCTTTTTTGTATAAAACAAAGGCCCAAGCATTCAGGTAGAGAAAGGAGTTGGCAAGAAATACTACTGACAGATTTCTAGGGGAACATCCAGTCTCCCACAGACTAGTCAGCTAGCAGGAGCTACTCACATCACAAAAATGAGATAAATGGCTGTATCAAGCAATGCTTATCTCATTTCTGTGGACAGTTTAACATCGGTATCAGCATAAATGTTCAGAAGAATTATGTGCGCATAAATGATCTGATGACAGACCACGGGTGTCAAACCGGCGGTCCTGCAACTGTTGCCAAATTACAAGTCCCATGAGGCATTGCAGGATTGATAGTTACAAGCATGACTCCCAAAGATAGCTGGAGGGCCTCCAGTTTGACACCCCTGACATAGACCAGAACATTGCTCTCACATGCATTAAATCCAAGTACAATCTGCAAGAAACATCACTAAAGTTGGCTATAATGGAGTACTGATGAACCACTGTCTCAAAACTGTAAAAGGTGTACATGTACGTAGAGAACATTATAATCATACCCTGTCCTGAGCAAGCCAAATATCTCAGGATCTACACAGTTAAACCATAAGTTACGGCCGCGTCCAAAGAAGCTAAAAAATATATTTATGCAACATTTTTGTAGAAGCTTCTGAAATAGTTTTTTTTAATATCTTATGCAGAGTCTTACTCTCAGGTATTACTGCTAGATAGTCTGTTCCCTTTACTTTCTTTTAGTCAATACATATTCAGTAACTAGGAGGGATTCACTAATTATTTTAGGAGTAATGTATAAAGCAATCGATCCAATATTCATCAAACTTTTCATACAGGCAAATCTTCCAGGTGCATGCATTTTAAATTATGGTGATTGATTCATCACCAGCAAACGTTTTGTGAAAGTTACATTGACTGCTTTAAAAAAAATATTCCCCTTAGTGTTTCCATACTGTGGAGGCTAAAGCAGTCTATGGACATTAGTTGCCAACAAACATGGTTGCATGACCAAGCTGCCGAATGATCTTTATACAAACATGCAAATTTGCTTTTGAGAACTTACATGTTTGTGCTTATGGGAAGCAAGGCTTTTGTCACTGGGCCAACAACAAGAAATTGACCTGGAAGATACATGGAGGCCAACCAGCTTTATCCAAGCAAGCTTATTAGCAGAGTCATGGAAGGACCTACAAAGAATTGCTAGCTGCAATACTTCCCAAGACACTCAACAAGCAGGAAGAACAGACGTTGGAACTCCTAATTTGCCTGCTTGCGCCAAATAATGGACAAAAAAAAAAAAAAGGAGAAAGAAAATTCTTCAGAGTGCCTTGTATTTATAGGAAGCAAATACAAGGCATTCTATAAATGGCAGCAGATAGACATATTGGTCCAGCT